CATTTTGGTAACGGAACTGCTCATACATGACATTCTACAGTGTATTCATTTGCAATTGCATCCCGCGTAACTGGGCAGCGAGGTCATTGCTCGGGTCACTGGATGAGCGGGGTCTACGTGACTGAGCTGGTCTTGTCTCCGCTCCCGAGGGTATAGTACTGGTGGAGCCTTACCGGCTCATGAACTTCCAAGCCCAACTCCTAGTGATGGGTGTGTTGGGATGCACCATCTCTTTCGATGAGAATGTTATAACACCCCCCTTTCTGCACAATTCATAAATCAAACACGGGTGCCCAAGACCGCCAGTCGTTGAACCTTTCAGGGTATGCAAAATACTATTGTGAATAACCTGGCCAACATCTATCGACTTATCACACTGAATAGCATAATTGAGGAGTGCACGCTCCTTCGTGACTTCACTAAGGTTGCTAATCGGGAGGAATTTGGCTGAGATGAAATGATGCCACGCTTTATGTTCAACAATCATCCCAGTGGCAGGAAAATGTAGCACGTCGTCGCCAGCCCATTTCCATGTAGTGCCCGGACGAGCTAACACTCGTAATAGTTCACCAAGATCTACTCCTTCTTCACGTAACATAGAGTAGTCATTGTTATCCACATCCGGAAGATTGTAAAATTGATTGATGGAGGTTCTGTCAAAAGCAATCCATTTGCCCCTCACAAATGCCCGAAAATTTCTGTGTTCCTTTGCGTTAGCATAGAACTCCCGAACAACAGGAATAAGGACTGGTTACGGCTATTGAGCAAATAGTTTCCATCCCCTCTGTTGGATTTGTGTAGTCATATATTTGTCAAAACCTCTCTCCTAAATACAGTTCTTATGCACCACCGAAGTGTTGTACCGTTCAGCAGCTGCTTCACTGATAAATTAGGTTCTGTCAAAAGAAGCAGAGGAAGAAGATGTAGTGTTGCGAGCCCGCTTGGGAGGCATACTGAATTATGAACAAACCTGAGCAAAGTGCAAAAGTCAGCAATTAACTTGAGGTTACTACAACAAGAAAAATTCTCCTAGGAATTTAATCAAACACCTTGGAAGCAAGGCTATTTCATCACACTTTGCATACTATCCCAGCAATAAATTTATCCCATCAGAAATTCAATCACTACAACTCCAAAATCCAAGAATCCAAATATATCCAATCAATAACGAAGTTGAAGTGCCAAAATAAAAATTGAAGGTAAGATGACTTACAAGTGGAAAGATGGTGATCCCAAAGATCAAGCAAGTGACCCCTTTACTAATTGTAGAGTATGAAATGCAAGAAAATGTATTGATTATGTTTCAAAAGAAAATTTAAATGGTAAAAGAGAAGAGGGGGCAATTCGTATGGGAGAGGGGGGAGAGAAGAAAAAGAAAAAGGAAGGGAAGAAATAAGTCAATTAGGGGGGAAGGTAGGTTTTTATATAAAATTAAATTTTTTTTTTAAAAAAAAAGACAGGGCCTAGGCGCTGACTTTCTACCCCGGTTGGGGATTACAGCGCCCGGGCGCTGGGTTTTGGTGCCTAGGCATTGAGTTTCTGATTTTTTTTAATACCTTCCATGTAGTCTTTCAATGTAGTCCTTCCCTATTTCCTTTCTTGGTTCGATGCTTCCAATTCGAGCATGCACCTATAAAAACAAGATGAAAATGAAATCACTTAAATAGGTAAAATAACGAAAATTGAAATAAATGAACTTTATGAAAACTTAAGGATAGAGCTTGGGTTGCCTCCCAAGAAGCGCTTCTTTTACGTTTTTAGCTGGACGTGGATGTGGTTTCAAGTTGGTTCATCAAGGGTAATTTCTTCCACATCCTAGTTTTCCTTTCCATAGTAATGTTTGAGGCGTTGCTCATTTGCCTGAAAGGTAGACCCATCCTTGCCTACTAATTCCACTGCACCATAAGGGAACACCTTACGGATTACAAATGGTCCTGACCACCGGGATTTGAGCTTGCCTGGAAAGAGTTTCAAGCGAGAATTGAATAGGAGAACCGATTTTCCTGTCTTGAAATCCCTCCTTAGTATTCTCTTGTCATGCCACATCTTTGTCCGTTCTTTATTTATCTTTGCATTTTCATATGCATCGTTTCGAAATTTCTCCAATTCATCAAGTTGCAACAAGCGTTGTGGACCGGCCAATCTCATGTCTAGTTTCAATTTCTTCACCGCCCAATAAGCTCGATGCTCCAATTCTACCGGTAGATGACAAGCTTTCCCGAATACCAGACGATAGGGTGACATTCCAATTGGAGTTTTAAATGTTGTTCGGTATGCCCAAAGAGCGTCATCTAGTTTAAGAGACTAGTCCTTCCGATTGGTATTCACTGTCTTTTCCAAAATCTGTTTAATCTCTCTGTTAGACACCTCTGCTTGCCCATTTGACTGTGGATGATAACCCAGTGCCAACTTGTGCTTGACATCATACTTAGCTAGAAGAGAATTGAACAGCTTGTTACAGAAATGTGTACCCCGTCGCTTACGATTGCCCTAGGCGTGTCAAACCGAGTGAAGATATTTCTCTGTAAAAATTTCAACACCACCTTTGCATCATTTGTTGGTACGGCAATGGCTTCAACCCACTTAGACACATAATCCACTGCGAGAAGAATATACTCTTGACCAAAGGAAGGTGGAAACGGACCCATGAAATCAATACCCCACACATCAAATAATTCCACCTCAAACATACTGGTTAATGGTAGCTCATGATGTCTTGAAATGTTTCCAGTGCGCCGACAGCGGTCACATGTCTTCACAAAAGCATAGCAGTCTTTGAACAGATTTGGCCAATAGAAACCAGATTGCAATACCTTTGCAGCAGTACGTGTAGGACCGAAATGACCTCCATAAGGTGAGCAGTGACAATGCTGCATGATTGATCGCGTTTCTTCCACAGGGACACACTGCCTGATTATTCTATCAGCACACCTTTTGAACAAGATTGGATCATCCCACAGATTTGACTTGACATCATATATGAATTTCTTCTTTTGATGAAACGTCAAGTCAGGTGGCAATCTTCCAGACACTCAATAGTTAACAAAATCGGCATACCATGAGATCTTTGTTGATATAGCTAGTAAGATCTCGTCAGGGAATGTTTCTCGAATTTGACTGTCATCCACCACCTTTTCATTCTCCAGTCGTGAAAGATGGTCTGCAACGACATTCTCACTGCCTTTCTTATCTCGAATCTCTACATCAAATTCCTGTAGTAACAGTATCCATTGAATTAGGCGTGGCTTGGCATCCTTCTTTTGAAAGAGATAACGGATTGCAGCATGGTCTGTGTAAATTATCACTTTGGTGCCAATGAGGTAAGATCTGAATTTGTCACGTACAAACACTACTGCTAGCACTTCCTTCTTTGTTGTTGTGTAATTTAGTTGAGCTCCATTAAGAGTTTTGATGGCATAGTGGATTGCCCTAAAAATCTTATCACGCCTTTGTCCCAAAACTGTCCCTACTGCGTAGTCACTAGCATCACACATAACCTCAAATGGCTGATCCCAATCGGGTACTACTATCACTGGGGCGGTGACTAATTTTGCCTTTATGGTTTCAAAAGCCCGTAAGCAGTCTTCATCAATTACGAAAGTTGTGTCCTTCTCCAAAAGGCTACATAGGGATTTTGCCACTTTTGAGAAGTCTTTGATAAATCTCCTGTAGAATCCAGGGTGCCCTAAGAAACTTTGAATGCCTTTGACATTAATGGGTGGTGGTAGCTTTGCAATTGTATCAATTTTTGCTCTGTCCACTTTCAATCCCCTCGCTGAAACATGATAGCCTAGCACAATACCTTCTTGTACAATGAAGTGGCACTTTTCCCAATTGAGAACTAAATTCCTTTCCTCATAGCGTTGCAGCACTAAGGAGAGATTGTGAAGGCAGTTATCAAAAGAAGTACCAAACATCGAGAAGTCATCCATAAATACCTCCATGATGTCTTCAACCATGTCTGCAAAGATTGCCATCATGCATCTCTGAAAAGTGGCCGGTCCATTGCATAACCCGAATGGCATCCATCTGTAGGTAAAAGTTCCATAGGGACAGGTGAAGGTTGTCTTTTCCTGATCTTCTGGTGCTATAGCAAATCTGGTTGTAGCCCGAATATCCATCAAAGAAGCAATAGTAAGAGTAGCCAGCTAATCTGTCCAACATTTGATCTATGAACGGCAGTGGGAAATGGTCCTTTCTAGTTGCCTTGTTCAGTTTCCTGTAGTCAATGCACAGCCTCCAGCCAGTTACTGTTCTTGTTGGAATTAGCTCATTGTTGTCGTTCTTAACTACAGTCATCCCTCCTTTCTTTGGTACCACTTGTACTGAGCTGACCCATTCACTGTCTGAAATGGCAAAAATGATTCCTGCCTTCAATAGCTTTAGAATCTCCGCTCGAACCACTTCTTTCATTGCTGGGTTTAACCTTCTTTGATGTTCAATGGATGGCTTGTAAGACTCTTCCATGAGGATTTTATGCATGCATATTGTAGGACTTATTCCCTTGATGTTAGCTATCGACCATCCCAAAGCGGCCTTATAATCCCTCAACACTTTCAATAATCTATCCTCTTCGTCTCTGGTGAGTAATGAAGAAATAATCACTGGAAATGCAGAATTATCCCCCAGAAATGCATAGCGAAGATGATCTGGTAATTGCTTCAGTTCAATCTTACTGTTTTCATTGCTTTCTTTGTTATTTGCTTCCTCTTGCTGTTGACTATCCTCACATTGTGATGGGTTTTCCACAACTGATGTAGACTCAAGAGCCAATATGTAATCAACCAAATCCTTGCTCCCTATGTACTCTCCAAAAGTGCTAATATCATCCTTTGTTGTGCTAAACATCATACATTGCTCTAGAGGATCTTTAATATATAATTTCTTATCTCTCACAGTAGAATCAATGAAGTCAATCCTGTGGCAAGTGTCATTGTCATCTGAGTACTTCATTGCTTGGTAAATGTTGAACCTCACCCCTTCTTCATTCACTCTCAATGTCAATTGTCCCCTTGTACATCAATTAATGCCCTTCCAGTTGCTAAGAATGGCCTGCCTAAAATCAGTGGAATTTCCTGATCTTCTTCCATATCTAATACCATAAAATCAGCTGGGAAGATGAATTTGTCGACCTTTACCAACACGTCTTCAATAATCCCTCGTGGGTAGGTGAGGGACTTATCAGCTAGTTGTAGAGTCACTGTTATTGGCTCGACCTCCCCGAGGCCTAATTTCTTGAATACTGATAACGGCATTAGGTTGATGCTTGCTCTTAGATCACAGAGGGCCTTTTCAAAGGAAGAGCTTCCAATGGTGCATGGAATAGTGAAGCTGCCCAGATCTTTTCTCTTCTAAGGAAGTTTCTTTTGAAAAATAACACTGCATTCTTCTATCAATTTTACTGTTTCATATTCCTCCAATTTTTGCTTCTTTGACATCACTTCCTTCATAAACATTGTGTAATTTGGCATTTGTTCCAAAGCATCTGCAAAAGGAATATTAATGTGAATTTTCTTGAAAATTTCTAAAAATTTTGCAAATTGATTATCAATTTTTTCTTTTGAAAACGCTGTGGAAATGGAAGTGGTGGTGTGAGAATTGGTGGGTTGTCAGGGAAGGATATGGAGTAAGGTCTATGGGCCTTATTTGTTCCCTTGGCCTGCTTCTCTTGCTCATCTACTACTTGTTCTTTCTCCTTATCAGGTGTGGGGTTGCTATCTTCAGTGAGTTCACTTTTTCCAACTTGCTTGCCACTCCTTAATACAACAACTTTACAGTGCTCCTTTGGATTGACCTCTGTATCACTTGGAAATTTTCCTTTTTGTTGAGACTTTATTAAGGTAGCCAATTGGCCAATTTGCACTTCAAGATTCTTCATTGTGGCTCCCATGTTGGACACATGTGTTTCAATATTATCCAAACGTGATTCATCTTTGTTGAAGCGTGATCTTGTCTCAGAAATGAACGTCCCAAGGATGTCTTCCAATGGTGGTTTCCCATCAGAATTCTAAGTGTTGAATCTGGGTGGAGGTTGAAGTGTGTTTCTATTGTTGCCATATGACAAGTTCTTGTGATTCCTCAGCCCTGGATGATAGTGATTAGCTTGGTAGCTTCCTCTTTGATTGTAGTTTCTACTGTTGACGTATTGGACCTGCTCGTGTGAAGAAGAAGTACTCATGACTGAATCTACCTTCTGTTGATTTCCTTGAGTGGTAAGCGTGACTATCTTATTTGTGAGTGATGCAACCTGGGCTGCTAGTGCAGTGATGGGATCCACTTCATGAAGTCCTGCTACTTTCTTTACACCCGATCTCTCACTTGGCCATTGGTAACTGTTGGTGGCTATGTCATCCAATAAAGCATATGCAACCTCTGCTGTTTTAGCTATTAAAATGCCTCCCGCAGTTGCATCTACCGTAGTCCTTGTCTGCCCATTTATCCCATTAAAAAATATCTCAATTTGCACCCATTTCTGGAACCCATGTTAAGGTCATCTCTTAAGCAAATCTTTAAATCTTTCCCAGGCTTCATAAAATGGGTCGAAGTCGAGTTGTTTGAATTGGCTAATTTCACCGTGAAGTTGAGCTGATTTAGAAGGTGGAAAGTACTTGGTGAGGAATTTCTGAGCCAAATCATCCCAAGTTGTAATTGAGTCATACGGTAATGATTGGAACCAAGCCTTTGCTTTATCCCTTAAAGAGAATGAGAGTAGGCGGAGTCTAAATGCATCTTCAGTAACCCCATTCATCTTCACCGTGTCACAAATTTCCAAAAAGGATCCAAGACGAGCATTTAGATCTTCTATTGTAGCACCCTCAAATTGATTTTGCTGCACCATATGTATCAACCCTGGCTTTAATTCGAAATTGTTTGCAGCAATTATTGGGCGTGCGATGTCGGAATAGTTGTCATTGACAATCGGCCTTATGTAGTCCCGAATAACCCTTTGTTGGTTATCCTCATTGGCTGCTCTAGCATCATGTTCTGCCATTGCTTTCCTTTTGTTTCTTTGTATGCCTCTGAGAATGCGAAATGTGCGTTCTGGTTCGGATCAACACGTAGTAGATCTAGATTTCTCGCCGTTCGCATAAACAGATTAAAATAATTACAAGGAAGCTTTTAAAGATAGACACAAAAAGAATAAAATTAAATTAAATATTACGATAGAAATAAAAATCTAAGGTAAAATGAACGCTGATTGGTAATAATATCAATTGAATTCGAATGAATCAATCCCCGGCAACGGTGCCAAAATCTTGTCACGCGTTTTATATAATGTGAGTTTATACCGCAAGTGCACGGTGTCAAGTTTCGTAGTATATTAAAGAATTGAAAAGTGTCGAACCCACAGGGATTGATATTCGACTTCCACTGAGTACTATAATTGTGTCCGCGTTTACTTTATCTAGACAATTGGGTGTTAAATTGATGTTGAATACTAAACTAATGTCAATGAATTAAATAATGCAATAAAAGTGAGGTAATTTCTAAAGATTAAATCAAAATTACGTAATGTCTAGGGAGTGATTTCACCGTATTCTCAACATAATTTTCAATCCTTATAGATATTTCCATTAATTATTTTTCGAATTCATAGGCAAGAATCCTAAATTAATTCTATTTCCCCCTCTTGAGCGTCAAATAGATCCTATCTCTATATTTCAACCCCAATATCTCTATTCCGAGTTAAATTTATAAAGATTATCACGCACTTGTTCTTGTTTTAATCCTCAAAGAATCACACTTTCTCTCGAAAATTGTAAATCTAGGTTATATTGTTCTTAGATCATACCTAAATTTCCCTCTCCCGAGCATTAAATTTAGAGCATCAATTATTCAATTGGTGATCAACCAACTGAAAGCATTAAACAAGAACAATGCAAATCAATTCTAGAAAATTAAATGAAAATACTATAAAGAAATTGAATCATGTCTCAAATAGGTTACATCAAACCCTAGATTTAATAAATTAGTTCATGATTGAAAAGAATAACACAAAAAAGTACAAATTAAATCGCATGGAGAAGAGAAAGATAAGGAAAACTCATGTTGTAGCTTGATTTCTTCTCCAAAATCCAGTTATTCTTCTCTCAATTAGTATATCTCCTTGCCTCGCTTCTTCAGCCGTCCAAAAACCTTTTCTTAGGTCTGTAATATGTATTTATAATCCCCTTAATTTGCATTACGAGTTGGAGTAGGGCCGGGTCGAAAATATTTGGAAAAATCGCGTTTTTCCTTTCTCGGCATGCGGCACCTGGGCACTACAAAAGTAGAGCCTAAGCGCTGCGTCTCTATCCTGTTTCAGCGTGTGCAGTGCCTGGGCACTGCACTGTGGCGCCTAGGCGCTGCGGTTCTACTTCCTGTGTGCGTGTACAGCGCCTGGGCGCTGAGTTTCTGCTCCTTTTGTGGCGCCTAGGCGCTGCAACTGTGGCATTTTTTTTGTTGGTTTTCTTCCTTCTTTCTTCCATCGTCTTTCACGTGCATCTTGATGCTTCTTCTTGTCCATTCACTTCTATGTAACTTTGACTCTTTTCCACCCTTCAAACTCACCATTTCACCAAATTGGTTTACCTATAAAACAACACAAATACCCACATCAAAACGTTCTAAATTTTTCGAAAGCAGCCAAATATTTTAAGCTTAAGAGACATTAAATCAATGAGTGAAATTCACTCATCAGATACCATTTTGTAAAGTTAGACTTTGTGTATAACTTTTGAAGGTGATCTCAAAATTTTTTCGCTGTTTCAAACTTCACTAACTATGTATTAATAGATTAGATTGTTCAACAGAATTATGAATCCACGTGAAATTTTTTGCATTGTTTGACTCCCAATTATCTATCTTTATCACATAATTCGTAGCAGCATTCTTAGGTTTCATAAGCACCTCGTGCCTGATTTGAGAAATGTTTCATTGTGGTTACCTCTTTGGTTTTATATCCATTCATCATGACCCAGCCCCATTCGCTAGATGTACTTCAGCTGGTTGCATTATATTTTTATTGTATGTTGATATGAATTTTACTGGTGATGATGTTGATTGAATTACAGATTTGAAATTAGAATTGACTCGTCTTTTTAAAATGAAAGACTTAGGTGCGTTATCTTATTTTTGAGGAATCGAAGTTGCTTCTTCTCCTATAGGTAATCTTCTCTCTCAGTCTAAGTATACTATGGATGTTATTGAGCGTGCTCGCCGTACCGATACTAAAATTGCTGATACTCCTCTTGAGTCCAACGCTCTGATACATATAACTCGTCTTTTAAAAAAAATCAATTATTTTATTAATGCTTATTATTTTTGCGCAACAAATTTCTCAATATAATTTACATCATTTTATTAGAAAATTTTATGTGGTAAGATGTCAAATTTTAATTTTTTTGACGTAAAAATTCTTAATAAAATTTTTAATAAAGTAGTTTAAATTGTTATACTACTTTTTCATCTTGACTATTTTTATATCTGAAAAAATTTAATTATTTTTAGGATTTTTTTATTATTGTTACATTTTCCACTCAATTAATTTTTTTTTTTTCAAATGACATCAAAAATTTTATTAGGAAATTTATGAAATTATTAAAAAAAATTTTAATTGATTAAGAGGAAAAAGTAACAATAATAAAAAAAATCCTAAAAATGACTGAATTTTTTTTATAAATATAAGTATTAAATTTTTTAAATTTATAACCTAACCCCTCAAATTTTAATAGATTTCAAACCTATATTTTTTTCCTTTAAAAATTTATATTCAATTTGTGCACCAAGAGTAGTCAAAGTAATAAGACCACATGTACATGTTATACAACAATTTGATTTATATAAACAATAATTAAAAATTGCCCTTGTTTGAGCCCCATTTTTATGAAGAAAATGAATTTTTGAATAGTATATTAATGAAAAATGTGTGGTTAAAAAATAAGGAAATTTTTTTGATTGCGTATAATATTATTTTATTGTAGAATGTGTAGTTGAAATAATATCAAATTACTGTTGAAAAATATATTTTGGTTGAAAAATGAGGCTCAAACGAGGGCATTAAATGTTCTTTAAGATATATTGAAATGTAATGATTTATCATGTTTAGTTTAGTTTAGTTTAGTTTCAAATATAAACATTATATTCATATAAATTTAATAAGTTCAAAAGTTTAAAAAATTGATTTTAACATTTTAAATACTTGAATTTAAAAGTATATCCATCATAAATTTCGTAGAATTTCATCCATATTAATGAAATATATGAAAAGTCCTTAAATTTATTAAAATCTGTCTCAAATTATTTGAGTAAATTTAACCAATAATCACTGAACTTTACACTTGATTACTACTTGCTCACTCATCTTTCACATATTACTGAATGCTCACTCATCTTTTCATATAATTACTCATTCATCATTCGTCTCTTAAAATAATTGGGCGACTTTTACGGCAAATTTTCGACAACTTTCGACCACAAAGAATGTCGAATTTTGATACCGTTGGAAAGCCCACGATGTCCTCTTCAATTATCACCCAAAATCTCATTATAACTCCAAGGGATTCGATCGAAAAATTGCCTTAAAAGTCGCCCAAAAATTTTGAAAATCTGCCCAGATTTTCAAAATTTTTGGGCGACTTTTAAGGCAATTTTTCGGCAACTTTTGACCATCAAAACTATCGAATTTTGATACCATTGGAAAGCCCACAATGTCCTCTTCAATTACCATCCAAAATTTCTCCATAACTCCAAAGGATTTGGTCGGAATAAACCTACAAAATCAGCATCTTGAAAAGGCGAAAATCTGGACAAAGTTCGGGATGCTGATTTTGTGGGTTTATTCCGATCGAATCCTTTGGAGTTAAGAGGAAATTTTGGATGGTAATTGAAGAGGACATTGTGGGCTTTTCAATGGTATCAAAATTCAATAGTTTTGATGGTCGAAAGTTGCCGAAAAATTGCCTTAAAAGTCACCCAAAAATTTTGAAAATCTGGGCAGATTTTCAAAATTTTTGGGCAACTTTTAAGGCAATTTTTTGATCGAATCCCTTGGAGTTATAATGAGATTTTGGATGGTAATTGAAGAGGACGTCGTGGGCTTTCCAACGGTATCAAAATTTGACATTCTTTGTGGTCGGAAGTTGTCGAAAATTTGCCATAAAAGTCGCCCAATTATTTGAAGAGACGGGTGATGAATGAGTAATTATATGAAAAGATGAGTGAGCATTCAGTAATATGTGAAAGATGAGTGAGCAAGTAGTAATCAAGTGTAAAGTTCAGTGATTATTGGTTAAATTTACTCCAAATTATTTATTAATATCGAAGGGAAGACAGCGGGCAGTACAGATCTCAACCACTTACTTCACTGTCTTACGCATAAATTCATCGTCCCCAGTTTCACCGCGTTTCTATCTGATTTTCCCCATTTCGAGCCCAAATCTCTCTTTATCTCTTTAATTACAGTTGATCTCTGAAGTTCCATGTAATCCATTTTCACTTCAGGTGGCATTCTCTTCAAGATCCCATTTTCCATTTAATCCATTTTCACCACACCAATCCGCCATTCTGCCTCTCCGTCTTCATCTTTTGAGCTGTTGAAATACATCCAAATTTACTCTTAAACCTAAGAGGCCAACAAATCTTGAAGTAAATCTTGTGAATTTACTGATAAGTGGGTCATCAATTGTAAAGATTCCTTTTTGTTTTGCGGAATCTCGTTTCGGTGCTAAAGTAAGTATAGTTACTGAATTTATCAAGCCACCACATTGAAGACACGATGGACGAGTATGTACCCTTCTTAGCTTCTGATTTTTTCCCCTTTCTTGTCAATTTACATTCTTCACCCAATTAGGCATTGTTTTCTACTGTTATATAGAAAAAGGAAGCATTTCCCAGTACGGCAGTCCCCAGATATTGGATTCCCTCTAATTTTTGGAATCACAGAATACCACTATTGTCCTTCAATCTACATTGTTTGTTTACACGTGATGGTTTTTGGATTCCCAAATTACAGATTCCTCGCTTTGGATAAATTTTGAGAGTTAATTGTTCCAATGGTTACTGAACTCGTCTATTGCTCTCGTTGAAGTTCGAAATGTCTAGTTTTGGTCACCTAGGGTCCATGTTATCAAAATTGGTGACGTGGCTGATGAATGCACACGTGGCTTCCCATTATACCCTTATTGAGATGGTTGAATTTTAGTCGTTAAATTTTGAAAAATATCTTCTAATGCTCGCTGAATTTTGAGGTGATCGAATTTTTGCCACCGAACTTTGAAAAACGTCGAACTTTGGTCGCTAAACTTTGGAAAGCGTATTCTATTGCTCACTATAAATTTGAATTTAACCATATATTTATACAATAAAATATTTTACACTTAAACTCAATTTTTTTTCAACTTTTTAACCATACATTCTCCCAAAAATCACTATTTTTAGAACTCTTTTTTTTTTTTTTTTTAAATAATAGCCATTAAACATGGGCGGCTAAAATTCAGATTTGAATTTTGCAATGAAACACACAATGAACTTATTTTTTATTAAATAAAATCAAATCCAAATTTTAACAACGAATTTTAATTAAGCCCAAATTTATTGTGATCCATATAAGCCATTTTTAAGAGTTTTGTAGCAAAAACTCTACTATAATCACTCAATTTTGAAGTGGTCGAATTTTGGCCATTGAACTTTCAGATAGTTGAATTTTGGCCACTAAAATTTGAGATGATCGAGTTTTTAAATAGTGATTTTTGGAGAATGTATGATTAAAAAGTTAGGAAAAAATGTAAGTTTACATGTAAAATATTTTATTGTATAGATGTATGGTTAAAACCAAATCTATATTGAGCAATGGAAGACGTTTTCAAAGTTTAGTGGCCAAAGTTCGACTTTTTGAAATTTCAGTGAGCAATAAAAGAGACATTTTTCAAAATTTAGTGACCAAAATTCGACCATCTCAAAGTTTTATAGTGTGATGGGGGCTTAACGCGTGCATTTAGTCATTCACGTCACCAGTTCCGCTGGAGGTTTGAGATGGAAGTTATGCTAATGAGTAACGTATAACATTTTCCAAAACTTAGTTGCCAAAACTCGACATGGTAAACTTTAGCGAGCAACCGAAGACATGGATCTAAGTTTTGTTACCAAAACTCGACATTTTAAATTTCAGTGATCAATTGAAGACACGTACTTAAGTTTATTGACCAAAACTCGACATTTTAAATTTTAGTGAGCAAACTAAAACATGGATCTAAGTTTAGTGATCATTGGAACAAGTAACTCAGATTTTGAAGCAATCTTACATAGATACTGTATAATTATTATCTCTTTGATTATTGATAGGAAATCTTGTAATGAGTGATATACGTGTAAATAGTTGTTTTCTTTCAGTGAGTACTAATTGATTTTTTAACCTTTCCTCGTTAGGGAGAATGAAGTCGAACTTTTACAAAGATATCGTCGGGACAGGCGGGTACTTCTAGATTTTATACTTGCTGGTAGCTTAATAAAGAAGGTGATAATGCCACCAGGAGCAGTAACATTGGATGATGTGGATCTGGATCAAGTCAGTGTGGATTATGTTCTTAATTGTGCAAAGAAAGGTTATGTATTTGAAACTATGTTTTGTTCACTTATCTTTTTGTTCCGTGTTTTCACTAGGAAAGAGATGGAGTTGTATACATAACTTGTGGTTTTTCTTTTCTTCTCTTGGTTAATTAATGTAGGTCACATGCTTGAACTCTCGGAAGCTATAAGAGAATACCATGATAGCACTTTATTCCCTAACATGGTAATTGACGGCCCATTGAGCTATTAATTCGACATTCAAGAACTTCTTTTTTTGCATGCTTCAGCTGTCCTCATTGAATACTCTCTGCATGTCTCATAAATTGGGACATTTTAAGTAGCTATTTAACTATATTTTACTCTGTTATATTATTTGGACTAATTGTTCCCTTGCACTTCATTTATTCTTTCAATTTTCTTCTTCCAATTGTTTACTTAAAATCATATATGAGTGTATCTGAATACCTTTGTCCTCATTACCATTGTTATTGGGTTCGAAAAGAATAATGCAGGTTCAGCCGATGAATTCTTTCTGGTTACCAATCCCGAATCTTCAGGTTCCCCTCCCAGAAGGGCACCCCCACATGTCCCAGTTGTGGTTCCATCACCTATTTTACCTGGCCTTTCAATTTCGGAGCCTCTCGACACTGAAGAAGTTGATGAAGTATCGAGTTTGTCAAAATCTCAGTCTCTTAACTCCTCTCAAGTTCAAGAATTAACTGTAGATGACATTGATGATTTTGATGACGACGATCTGGAGGAGGTTGACAGTCGTAGGTACTCCAGAAGAGTTCTAAATGATGCCTCTGATGTGGCCCTGGGATTGTCTTCCTTTGCTACTGGTAAATATGGTTTATGATGGTCTGCATGGAGTCTTAATGTCTTCGTCTTATTTCAAGTATTGTTCCTGTGGTTCTTATGTCTCATAGCTTTACCAGAGAAGTACAATTAATGTTCTTATTTTAGTTTATTTACAACCTAATTAACTAAAAAGATGGGGTGGTTTTAGTTCTTTCAGTTTCTTAGTCAAAACAATTATTTTCAGAGATAAAATCTGTTAGGGTTTAAAAACATTAGTTAACTTTATGAACAATCAGACGTATAAACTCATTTATGTTGCCTTGTTTTGAGATATATTTAAGAGAAAGATCTTCTGCGAGTATACTAAGTTTGGGTTCTAATATCTCATAAATGTAAGTACTAGATTGAGCAATTGGGATATAGACTTTCAAGGACGTGTTTCAGGTAATTGGCATCATAACCAGAGCCAATTCTCTCGCTTTTTGTTCATTTTGACCGGTGAAATTATCTTTATTTATATTTTTTTTTTTTTGGGGAACAGCTTTTACTACTAATGTGGCAATGCCTTTTTCTATTTACTGAGGTTACATCCAGTAGCATCCATGCATGTCAAAAACTTAAAGTAAATTGTTAGAATAAATCAATAAATAATCCCTGCTGACAAGAGATAAAACCTCATTCCTGACGACCTTTAGTTTCCTTTCTCAATCATGCAAGTTTGCCAATCTCATATAAGTTACATCACTGAAGCATCAATGGAGTTGGTATGGAAATGGGGAGTAGACTTGAAGTTCTATTTCTAGTAGCGTATTGGGACAGGGGCCTCGCCTCAACCTAGACATTCATCTTATAAATGGATAAGCTGGAGTGTAGTTGTCCTCATATTCTATGTTGCGTATTTAAATAATTTTGAACTTTTGACAAATGCCATCTGATCTATGTGAGATTTTCCAACTGATCACTGTTACATGAGTAACAGAGGTTTTATTAGTGGACTTGGCAGACTTGCTATGATATTTTCAAACTTAGGTTCTTGTTGGTTTGCTTCAATACAGGTATTACAGACGACGACCTCCGCGAAACTGCATATGAGATCCTCCTTGCTGCAGCTGGAGCTTCAGGGTATTTATCTTTTTGCATCTTGGTTTGCACATTTGTTGCCATCTTAATAATGGATGATTTTCCATTTCATATGTTTATATGCACAAACAGGGGCCTTATTGTTCCGTCTAAGGAGAAAAAAAAAGAAAAGAAGTCTCGATTGATGAGGAAGCTAGGACGAAGTAAGAGTGAACATGTGATGCAATCCCAGAATTCTCCTGGTTTGGTTGGTCTATTGGAGACGATGCGTGTTCAGATGGAGGTAAACTATACTTATTCTCGCAAACATTTTCCTGATAGTTTTGGGTCCTTATTTCTTCTACTTACATGAAATACATTTCAAAACCTTCATCTTGTTGAAGTTTGAGCCATTAATATGCCACTAAACTTTAATGGGTTGTGCTCTATGAAAAATTCAGACCAACAATAATTACTTCTGTTTTCCCTTTGAAAACCAGTGAATTTATCAAGATAAAACTAGTATTATCTTTGTAGAATTCTGAAAAACATTGTGGTTAGAGTTTAATTGTCGCTTTTTTGTTTTTCTAAGTTACTGGGGGTTGGGGTGGGGTATAAGAACCTTTTGTGTGCTATGGAGTGACAGTAGAGAATATGGAAAATGATATTTTCAGTATTTTTGGTAGAAGAGGGTGGATGTTTCCCATTCCAGATTGATATCTGGTTGACGATGTAGTTTTGAGTGTTGCATAAGCTTTTGTGTTGAACAAATTGTATAGAAATGAAGTCAACTTTTATGGGTGAAATATATTTACCCTATATAGGTTTGTTTTGTGGTGCAAGGAAGAGAACGTGAAAGTTAAATACTTATATTAATTTGTTACGCTCTTTTCCCATCTCTTGGGTCGTTCAACTATTTTACATGGGTGTACCTCCATGTTCCTTATCACTGGGATTTCTTACATATGAGAAAAACAACAAAGATCAAAAGAAGCAACATATTGGTGGTAGTTTTGTTGAAGTGTAGAAGACCCGATCTAGTCAAGTGGTTCAACCTGGTATGAGGCGAAGGTCTCAGATTCGAGTCTTGCTGCCATTCATATAATGAAATTGTTCATGTATCAGGCTTTAATGGGATACATTAGACCTGCCTACATGTGAGGTTGTGTGTTGAAGACTAGATTGAAGCAATATACATGTGGCCCTCTCTAAGAACAAGCAATAGCTTAGTTTCTTGATAGCTTTTAATCATCTTTTGGAAAATTTTCATTGGAATTGCATTCCTAATTGTTATTTGAAACTGTCCACATCTCATGTTCAGAGACATACTCCGGGTTCACTTTCATGTAATGTGGTGCATTGTCTATTGCTTGTGATATGATCCTTCTAGCTGCTAAGTTTCTATTGCCATGGGAGTCATAATGTGTTGAAAATCAGTCTTGTGAACTTGCTAGTATGCCATGAAGCAGATTTTATGTTAGCTACTGGAAAGACAATGGCCAAAGTCAGACTAGTTTTACTCAAACACACAGTCTCTGGTACCAACAAGAAAGGGGGAAAGTCCTTTACTTTGCAACTTTGATCATGGAGACCAGAACACATTTAGGGTGCGTTTAAGCCCCGTTTTATGGGAAAATAGGTTTTTTAATAGTGATTTTTTTGGAGGATTTGTGATTAAAAAGTAGGCAAAAGTTTTGGGTTTATGTGTAAATTATTTTATTGGGAGATTGGTTGGTTGAAAATGAGTTTGGGGGGAAAAATGAGTTTGTAAAAAATAGGGCTCAAACATGGGCTTAATATATTGGCAAACTTTGATGATCTTTATCTGATTTTATTATTTGTTCTGTAAGTATGGTAGAATCTCATCTAGGTCATAATAAACCTTTAAACTAAAGATTTATTTTTCTCTACTGTGTTACATTTCTACTCTTATCTGAAAAATCATCACTGCTTAATCCACAAAAGATATTATGAAGTTGGTCCTGTATCAAAAAACTTTCCATAGTTTCCGAAGTTGTTGGTTTTGTTTGCTGTTTATGTATATTTCACCAATTCTGATGAGTTCAACATAGATTTCTGAGGACATGGACATCAGAACAAGAAGAGGGCTTCTTAATGCCATGGTGGGAAAAGTTGGAAAAAGAATGGATACTCTCTTGATCCCATTGGAATTGCTGTGTTGTATTTCACGTACGGAGTTTTCTGACAAGAAGTCATATATAAGGTGGCAAAAGAGACAAGTGAGAACTCTCTCTCTCTCCTTTTTCATTTTGTCTCCCTTCTTGCCTGAAGAGTTCTTCGTTCCTTTCTTGCTTTGCTACCATCTGTGGCATTTGTCCTGCAAACAAGCCCTTTTGGGGAATTTGTTTGTAATTCTCTCATTGAAAGTGGTGGTGGTAAAGAGTGTGTGTGTTCGCTCTCTATAAGTTTAATATCAATAGCACGTCATTTCCGTTCCCATTCAAAATGTGTACAATTTTGTGCCAATTCAGTTAAACATGTTGGAGGAAGGGCTTGTAAATCAACCTGCTGTAGGATTCGGAGAATCTGGGCGAAAAATGAGTGATTTAAGGGCCCTTCTGGCGAAGATTGAAGAGTCTGAGGTATGGCACATTCATTTTCCTTAGTCTGTTTTTGATATTTATTTACCATTTTTGAAAAAAATTGTTTCATTTGGTATTTCTGTTGCCATGCATGAAAGTTTGTACTCTTTTTTAAAAATCTGATTTCTTATTGTAAACTACACGTGTGAGTGCAATGTAGTCACCTTTAAGAACATTTAATTGCATAACGATTATTTGCTGAATCCTTCATCCTACTTATTAATGTTTTATCCAATGAGTTTGATTATAATCTCCAGGAAGTAACTTCAACACAGCCTCTTTGCTCTATAGTGTCCTATTATTTGGAGAAAGCTATCTGTGATTTGATCAGTAGTTTTATTTGGAGAAAGCTATACGTGATTTGATCAGTAGTTTATGAACTCATAATACCCTACTGTTCAGTTTTCAGATGTCCTCTCAGTTCTCATGATTTGTGTATATGTTCAGTATAAAACATTAGAAAGATTCCTCCAGGCTGCAAGAGCCAGTGACAGCCTCTTATTTTCTTGTGCACTGATTGTAATCATATCTGTTGTGTCAGTCTCTTCCATCCTCTACTGGTGAGCTTCAGCGGACAGAATGTTTAAGATCTCTCAGAGATATTGCCAATCCGCTTGCAGAGAGGCCAGCGAGAGGAGACTTAACTGGTGAAATATGCCACTGGGCAGACGGATATCACTTAAACGTTAGATTATACGAGAAACTATTACTCAGTGTCTTTGATGTTTTGGACGAAGGAAAACTTACAGAGGTTAGTGGAACTGCGCCAAATTCATAATATTATATATCTCAATCGATATTCTTGTTTGTAACGATTTCCTAGTATTGTTGATGTTTTGGACGAAGGAACAGAGGTTATTGGAACTGCACCCAAGGTCATAGTATAGTACGAATTCTGTCTATATTCTTGTTTGCAACAATTTCTGTCGGGGGTTAAGTTCTGGTTTTCAGATGTGTTTAATTCTACAGAACTTACTTTCTAGGGCTATGGATACTTATATTAGTGTCTCTTACATCACTAACTTAGAATCTTCTGCCTTCTAATAGACAGCACTTCAGTTTATAATTCCAGTGGTTTGGGGAAAATGTTGGATGTGTGGAGTGGAACTGTATTGTACACTTTCTGACTTTTTTTTCTTGTTTTAGTGCTGTTTATATTGCCCTTGGGAGTACAGGATTAAGAAACCTAAATTTATTTTGTTAACTCACTCTGAATAGACAACATAATGTGCAGGAAGTGGAAGAAATGTTGGAGCTGTTTAAGTCAGCCTGGCGTATCTTGGGAATCACAGAGACCATTCATTACACTTGCTATGCATGGGTGTTATTTCGGCAGGTATCTGACCTGAAGATTTTGTGATCAAGAGAGTTCATAAGTGTAATTTACATTGTAAATTTCTTAAAAGAAATGCATAAATTTTAATGTGAATGTTGATGGGCACACTAATATTTCTTTGATCTTCTCTCTCTATCTTTCTCGCCTAGAAAAAGAAAAGAACGAACCAACTCTGCTCTTCTTCCCTTTTTGCTTTTTCTTAGCATTCTTGATTTTCCGTCCTTTCTGAACCTTGTCAGTCTTGAGTTTGCTTTTTGGTTTCTCAAACACCAGAAATGAAATGGAAATATCCAGTCTCCACACATGCTATGAACTTTCTAATTCAGAGGGTGGAGGGCTCTTTGAGGGCACCACAGGCTTCATAGGATTGAGTTTTTTCTTTTCTTTTTCTACGATTACTACTACTACTACTACTACTACTACTACTACTATTAATATTATTATTATTATTATTATTTTTCTATTGGTGTTTGGAGGTGGAAATGGAGCAAGTATTCAAAAAAATTGAGGAAAATGAAGAGTTACGGGAGCTAATTTTATAAATACATTGGGTTGGTTTTGCTTGTTTATTAACTGGTGGGTGGTAAAATCATTGAGGTTACTACTGGAAATTGCATATCACCATGGTTGGGTCTTGATGGTGGAACAGCTGTAGAATTTCGTGAAAGATGTAAATGTCCTTTCGGCTTCTATGTTTGAGTAATGAAGAATAATTTAGGAAGAAGGGGGAACAGAACAAAGGCAGCAAAACTTTGCCTGGGGAAGTAAAGCTCTGATTCTGTGTGATTATCACAACAAAAAGAGCGCAAGAGATTGATCCTATTTGGACGAGGATAGGAAATTTTTTGAGAGGATCTTCTAATGATAAATTCACTGGTTGCATGGAATAGGATCTCTGGAAGTTGTGATAAGAAAGTGCATCAAAGATGAGCAATGCACGCTTGTAGAAGCACTTGAACCTGCTACGATATTTAGAGCTTCTTTGGTTCAGATTAAAAATATCTGATTTTAATGTAAGTCAAAATCAAACAATCAATATTAACTACATCTTTCATTAGTCCCACAACTTTTCAACCACACATTTCAAAAACTTCTATCACAATCTACTAAAAAATCTAATTTTAATTCCCATCAGACACCCTCTTAAACTTTAAATTTGGGAAAGGATGGTAGTGGTATTTGGAAGGAATGGGAGGCAGTAAATTTGATACCGTAATGGATCACTAGCCAAATAGCTAGTGCATTGTTGGCAGCTTCTATTGTATGTTTTCTGGTTGTTAACTTTTGGTTTAGTTCTTCTGATGCAAGGTTTGAACGCCCTATTAGCACAAAGGGTGAACTGTTGCTTGCCATATTAGGCCGAGATAAAAAAAGGATGTAAAACTTGTTCATTTCTGTGTAGAAAAGAGACATTCATCTTACTTTTTTACGCTGTAACTTGAACTTGCTTACCCCAATTTGAAAAAGCGAATTGGTAATAAGCTAATCAATACATTGATCTTAACCCCGCTGAGTTTACAGTTGAACCCTTTTTTTGACTCTGAGGTCAATTAGAAAATAGAGCATTATTTAATCCGGATGAGAAATAGAATTTATCTCAATTTGCATTTTTTGCAATTGTGCATGACCTCTACACGGAATTTATGTAGTACAATTCTCTTCATTTGCGTAATTGCCTCATGGTGTGCTCCTGTTTTTGCTTGTTGCAGATGAAGTTCAATGAATCCTATAAATAAATTTTTATACTGTATAGTCATATCGCGAACATGGTTTTTGTCATTTGATTCATTTTTAATATGTAATACAGTTTGTCATCACTGGTGAGCAAGGAATCCTGCAGCATGCTATTGAGCAGTTGAAGAAAATACCTTTAAAGGAGCAACGGGGTCCACAGGAGAGATTGCACTTAAAAAGCTTGACTTGCAGAGTTGAGAGTGAGAAGGGATTTGAGGAATTAACTTTCTTGCAGTCATTTCTATTACCTATCCAAAAATGGGCTGACAAGCAGCTGGCGGACTACCATCTCCATTTTGCAGAGGTCTATAAATGAATGCATATTAACACTTCTCTTGAAGTTGATTGATTATGCTCATGAGTTTTGAAAAATTTGTGCACCAATATATCTATCACTTGTCAATATAGGGCGTTCTTGAAAATTTTCTTTTTTCTTATATTTTTTTGTATCATTTTAAACAAATTTGTATACATGTTTTTTTTGTTACCATGTAATTAAACTTTTTAGTATTTAAATGTCTTACAAGCTGTATTGTACAATCACAGTTTCACATAAAAATATAGTAACAAGTTTCATGACTTCCACCGTTGCACGTTCTAAGTTGCCGATTTGTTTGAAGGTATCAAAATGATATGGGATTTCTTAGTATTAATACAAAACCTGTGATGACTGTGGTGAGCACTCAAGTCATTTGCACCCAGAAATAGTTTTACCGGCGTGAGAATCTGTTTTCCAAATCAGAAATGGATGCAAGCTCTTCCATTCTTAATTGCATGTCTTAGATTAATACTGCTGGATTATTTAGGTAGTTCATACTCTGTGCATGTTTTCATGTTATGTCCCCAAAATTGTGATGCGGTAACGTGTGGAAAATATTTGATCCTACGCTTTTTAAGTATGCTAATAGCACAGGAGAGAGATGATTTATTCAGGAATAGTGTAGCCAGATTAGAGTTTATTTTGGGAAGTAGCCATTTAGTTTTTGGAGATTCATAGGAAATAATAGACACTGAATTTGGGACAGGGCATCTTATTTCGAATCTCAGTTAATTAGATCCCTGTATATAATTGCAATAAAATTTGAAATTCTCAATCCTATGTATTGATTGATGACCATGTCCTGCTGAGAATATAATTAACAGTGGTCAAACTAATCTTCTCTTAATATTGACTTTTTTATTTGCTTCTCTTGTCCTTTGTAGGGATTGAAATTGATGGAGAATGCCGTGGTGGTTGCAATGGTTGTTCGGAGGCTTCTTCTTGAAGAACCAGAACTGGTATTGTGGTTTCTTCTATCATAGTCGTCACTGGGCATCTTAGACACTTGTGATGATTTTCTATCATTTCTCTATTGCTTACATAAAATGAATCCACTTATGGTCTTGTCATCTCTTGCAGGCAATTTATTCTTTACCTGTCACAGATGCTGAGCAAATAGAGTCTTACGTGTCATCTTCAATTAAAAATGCATTTTCTAGGGTAAGTGTTTTAATCTAATTGCAATCTTATTGCAATAATTTAGAACATTTATGCTGTTGGATAATCGGTCAAGCAGTACTGTGATTTTTTTTTCTTCAACCCCCTTTGTAAAGGATCTTCATTTACTGTTGTCCATGCTGAGCTTAGGAAAGACGTCACCATTACTGGCTTTGCAATTTATAATAGGACCAAAAACAAGTAGTCTTTATATGACTATATATGATGTTGATTTCATTTGAAGTCTCCGATACACTTACAAGTGATCTCATTGAGATTCCAAGATGCAATAAGAAAGACATATAAGCGCAATACTGTGAAGCATAACTGATAGAGAGGGAGAGATACAGAAGATTGAAGGTTGAGGAAGAAATGGAGTGGATATAAATGTGTTAGTTTTGATCTTCATTTCTACCTACTTTATTTTTTCAAAGAAACAATTATAACTATATAATTCTTGGCATTCAATTAGATGCTAGACTATTTTCCGAAGCTGCACATGGGCCTATATGTTGATAAGCTAGAAACATGTCTTCTTGCCTCGTTTTGAAAATGTTTTCAATTTTATGAAAATATTGTAAACATAAAATCTGTGTTTCATAATTAGCGCCTGTTTAGTAGATTTTAATGTAAGTCGAAGTCAACAATTAATTCTAATCACATATTTCATGGGATCCACAGCTTTTCAACTACACATTTCATTAGTTTTTATCAAAATCTATTAAAAATCTTATTTTAATCCCCATCAAACAGGGGTTTAAAATAATTCATATTTTGTCTTCTAAAAATACTCATGTAAATATGCCATGCAAGTGCATTCTCGGTTTTCCGTTATGTGGTTCCATATGACAGCAAACATAAAATTAAATATAAAATGTTCCAAAATAATCTCTAAATATGCAGATATTGTAGGAAACATAAAGATATGATCCCACACGAGAAACTATACTGGCATTGTTTCAATTTCTTGCTTGAAAAATTGAAGGGAGGAGAAGGAGAACCGGAAATTACTTTCTTTACCATTTATTTCATGTCTAACATTATTATAGGTTATGAAGCTAAGTTGCTTAGGACATTTCTGTTAAAGATAGGAAAATATTATTTAGAATAATTTCCAATCGTGTAGGATTATTTTCCTTATTAGTTGATGTGTAATTATTTCACAATCTTTTCTTTTGAGTTATTTTATTTTTGGTTTATTTCCTTTTAGAGTTAATTACAACCCTATAAATAGGGTCTTCTACATTATAATATTTACAAGACTTTATTATATTAGTTTATAATATTTTATCATGGTATCAGAGCCGATTTAACTTCATTTTGGGTTAAACTTGTAAGCTTTTGTTCTCCGGCAAGCGGCCTCATGCTGCTCGTCCGGTCAAATTTTCTTGTTCCAGTCCAGTGTTCTTCCTCTCTTGCTTTCTTCAAATTTTCCCATGCAGAATAGTATAGCAGTAGTTGTAGTGTAATTAACAGCAATTTGAATCATATTATTGTCTTCCCAACTAAATTCTGAATGTAGAATCAGACTGCAATTTTCCTTAAATTTTCTCTTATTTCTATTATACCCAGAATCAATAATGGTTTATTAGTAGTAGTGTATTTTGAGTTGGTGGGTTTGAAGATGGGGGATGAAGGTAGAGATTCGTCCCTTCAATGTAGTGATAGGGTTTGGCAAGGTGGTCTTGAAGAGAATCCAGCGACGGAACGAGGTCGATGATGTGGTAGTGGAGGCGGCAGCTTAGGGTCGATGGGTCTGCTGTATTGGACTGCAGTTGTGGGCTATTGTTTTTTTTTTAGAGCCAGTTTTTGGATGGGTCTTTCATCAGAGTGCTATAAGGAAAGCAATAGTCATGGAAACCGACAAGGATGATATCAACGGCGGCGACTTAGACCTTTTTATGCATTTTACCATGTATATGGCAGAGACTCTTGATACCATCGATGCAAATGGCTTCACAACGGTCATTTCCTCTTAAATACTTGAGTGTATCTTGTCCATCTTCTTTGAATATAAATAACAGGTCTGGTTGGCTTGATTTTTCAACGGTCTCTGTTCCCCATTTCAGTCAGCAGCAGTCGGCGACGTAAAGAGTACAGAGGCAGCGGCGTTCTCTGAGAAGAAAGTTTGGGCTACAGTTTGATGTTTTCCAAAATTCCTTTGGGCTGCTTCATTATACTTTTATGCATGTGAACCGTATATTTGAAGTGGGCCTGATTTTGAAGTGGGCTGCTTTTGAGTGGTAATTTGTTTAGGCTGCAATCTAATTTCTTTTGCGGTTGATTAGGTTTGGGATCTAAATTCCTTAAGTTGTGCTGTTTGTTTGGCTAATTTTTATTAGGTTTTATCATAGTTGGGCTACATTACTTGGCCAACTTTTGGAATGCTTTATTAACATAAGTTCAATGATTATTGGGGTGCATTATCTGGGCTGATTTATTAGCATAATTTGGGTGACTCTAGATAAATTGGTTGATTAAGTTTATCGTGGATTGAAATTTCTTACTCGGGTAACATGTGACAAAGTACAATTTTATATAAGAACGTGAAGGTGAGTGAAGACATGGGAGTGCAGATCGTTGATTTTGGTTGCTTGGGTAATGAGCTAGAGTTTTGAATTCTCGAAGGAAGATTATCCTCGTGTGATTTTGGATTCTCAGAGGAGGGTCAACTTTGAATTTTATGGTGTGGGCTGTTTTGTGGGATTTCTCCCAACTATAGCATTTTGGCCAGCATTATATTGCTGGAATCTTGGCCGGTGTATTGGTGTTACAATATTTTTTGGAACACGAATTATGTGTTCGAATAAGTTCTCCCGACAGATAGAGCTCACCGTGTGTGTCGGCACATTTCGTGAATTTCTTTTGGGAATTCTTCTTGGGGATTGAGTTCTCTGGAGTATCTTTGGAGTGGTTGAATCTTCGATTCTCTTTGGTCATAACTCAATCTTTTAGATGTGGGCTTCTTGTGGTTGTCCACAGTTGACAGAATTTTTGTTAACGTGTGACTCTTCAGTGCTTCAAGTGTGGTGCGAGTATTCGGCGTTGCATCAAGTGTGGTGCGAGTATTCGATGTTTTGGTGATGATTTGTTAGCGTCATCAGTTTCTGGTCGGACATTGATTTTTTGCCGAGAATCATATCAAGTTTTGAATCAGTTCTTGGGTTTGGAGTTGTTCTTGGTTGTTTCTGTACTATTTTTTTGTTTTTGGTATCTCATCATCACTAATTTTCATAGTTGGTTGCTCTGGTTTGGATTTCTTCTTCGTGAACGCAGGCATTGTCACCGTTGCAGTTCAAGTTTGCAAATTGATGCTTATAGCAGCATCAATTTAAGAGGGGGGGGGGGGGGTTAAAGATAGGAAAATATTGTTTAGAATAATTTTCAATCGTGTAGGATTATTTTCCTTATTAGTTGATTGTGTAATTATTACACAATCTTTCCTTTTGAGTTATTTCTTTTTTGGTTTATTTCCTTTTAGAGTTAATTACAACCCTATAAATAGGGTCTTCTATATTGTAATATTTACAAGAATATTATATTAGTTTATAATATTTTATCAATTTCTCTGGTATATGATTATTTTAGTCCATCAAAATATTTATCTCTATTGCACACTTCCCTTGATTCTTGCCATGGATTAGAAATATCGAGAATTTCTCTTTTTATTTTGATTTCTTTTTGCACAGATTTTAGGGGATGTTGAAACAATGTCAGATGTAGCAAATGAACATCCTTTAGCAATGCTTGCAGAACAGACAAAGAAACTTTTGAGAAAAGATACAACAATGTATATGCCTATCCTATCTCAGCGGCATCGCAATGCCAGTGCTGTTTTGGCATCTCTTGTTCACAGGCTTTATGGTGTCAGACTAGTAAGTCTGCTTACATAATAATTCTTTTGTTCAAATCGAATAACATGGAGATCTAATTGACATTTCTTCCTCAGAAACCCTTCCTTGATAGTGCCGAGCATCTTACAGAGGATGTTGTATCTGTGTTTCCGGCTGCTGATAGTCTTGAGCAATATGTTTTAACAATCATCACATCTACTTGCGAAGATGGAGCTGCGGAGTCTTACTGCAAGAAACTAAATTTATACAAGGTGAGGAATTTTCTTTAACAAACTCATTTCCTGGTTTGCTTCTGAGGATTCTTAAATCGAAGAATGACCATTGTATAATGACTAAGTATCAGCTGCATACATATGATTAATTTGCTTCCCTGACGTCCAGATGTTGAATTCAGTTTAGAGCATAAAGGACATGGGGAATTTATGACAGATAACAGGAAATATATATATATATATATATATATACTGGATATTATGATACTTTGTACATATATGACTTGATTTATATATAATTTATTACTGTCTACCACTTTAAAATTCGTGCCTGTATATTTGATATATACTCGTGTGAGATAGAATTTTGTTGTATGCTAGCATGAGTGAAGACCTTCAGTTCTTGTTTCTTAGGACTCTTATAGTAGTGTCAACTTGAAGCATATTTGTACTTTAGCATGCCCTAATTACATCAGTTATGGAGGCACTAACCTATTATTTGGGATCAAAATTTTCCATATCTGTAACTTCATTGGTTTATCCTCTTATATTTCTTACTGGAGAAGTTCACACTTGTGCTGTTTTCGTATCAGATTGAGACCATATCTGGAACATTGGTGCTGCGCTGGGTCAATTCACAGCTTGGAAGACTTCAGGCTTGGGTTGAGCGGGCTATTCAACAGGAGGTAATGACTCGTATGGTTGGATATCAATCCTTTAATGTTGGGGTGTTCGTAGAAAGTAATAGTTACAAATGCTGTGTTATATAATTACATGTACATCTCTATGTACATTCATATATCTGTGGATTTGCATCTATATTGTTTGGCGTACCTATGAATTCCAATGGACCCAAGAGTTCTGATGAAGACATTCTTCAGTAATTTCATCATGGTTCTCGAAGTCATGTGGGTAGGTCTAGAGCTAAGCCTTGTCTAAACCTTGGAATCTTAATGCCATAATGAAAAAAAAAAAAAAAAAATGACATAATGAGATCCTAGTCTCAAAAATAAAAATTTCAACATAGCCTCTTCATGTAACCCCAAAAATGGGACAGATCACAAAAATGTAATTCTGTAGATATAGATTATGAAATTGATTGTAGATCAGTACCCCTTTTGCTTTGCCCACCCACCCAACCCCAACCAAAAAAAGAAGAAGAAGAAGAACTCCTTTAATTTCCATCCCTATGAACGTATCCTGGGAGGAATACTTAACTTACACATTAGGTATAGTACTTTCTTTGAACTCACCCATCATAATTTCTCAAATGCTTTAAGAAGAAGAATCTGATCCAATCTTGGGTGAAGGATAGGCTTGTGAGAATTTTTGACTCGGAAAACCATAAAATTTACAAGTAGACTTCAAAATTGAGCAAATATAGAGATGTGTGTCAAAACCAATGATAACTAAAAATGCACAGTGAGGAACGTCAGATATTAGATATATACATAAAACTTAATGTCAGCAACATAAAATTGACCCAGATCAGTTTAAGATGTAAGAAAAGTTGTCCATGTAAAGAGTCAAGTAAGGTCTAAGTTTCTGACACTGATAAGGTTGTACTCAATCTTGGTGGGATGGAGGAACTCAATAGGTTTAAATGGAACTTTATAGAGCCTAAAACTTGAGTTTAATTACTTTGCGTTAGCAAAGTGTAGTAACGAAGAGGAGAAGTGAGAGGATAAGATAGAGAGAACATCATGATGAAAGAGTTTGGAAAACTGAGAGAAAGACGTAGTGAAGAACTTTATTGAACCTAAAACTTGAGTTTAATTACTTTGCGTTAGCAAAGTGTAGTAACGAAGAGGAGAAGTGAGAGGATAAGATAGAGAGAACATCATGGTGAAAGAGTTTGGAAAACTGAGAGAAAGACGTAGTGAAGAACTTTATTGAACCTAAAACTTGAGTTTAATTACTTTGCGTTAGCTAAGTGCAGTAATGAAGAGGAGAAGTGAGAGGATAAGATAGAGAGAACATCATGGTGAAAGAGTTTGGAAAACTGAGAGAAAGACATAGTGAAGAGATAACAATGACGTGGAACTTGAAATTACCATAAACACTCAGACCAAATAAAATAAGAGAACAGACTGAATATATCAACAGTAACTTTTAAAATATAAAGCATATATTCCAGGATTAAGCTATGTCTGGGTCGTATTCTAGAATTAAATTATATATAAGCCCCCTTTAGCTTTTGTAAAATATCTTGAGGATGGAAAATGATCCTCTTTCATGTGGAAAAATGAATTTGGTTCTGAATTGATAATTTTCTCCTTGACCAAACTAACCAAGGAAAAGGAGGGGAAAAAAAAAAAAAAAAAGGAAGAAGAAAAGAAAAGAAAGAAAATGAAAAGTAAAGTAAAAAAGAAAGAGAAGAAGGCTAGGGGTTTATTTTAAGATGAAGAATAATGGTTGGGAAAGGGTGTTTAAAAATGATAAAAATCGTCCCAATCAAATTGCAAGAAGAGCCTCTAAAAAATTAAAATGTGCGCATAAGTCCTGATTTTCAACTTAAGGCGCGTGCCTAGTACAAAATGAGGTGCGCACCTTAGCCTTTTGATTGCTCCCAGTTGCCCAAAATTGGGTCTAAGGCGTGCACCTTTGTCTTTTTTTCCTTACTTTAGTTTAGTCCTCAAAGAGCTGCACGTCAGGTCCTTCAATTTTGGTTTTATCCAATTTGGTCCTTGGATTTTGACTTTTCTTTCAATTACGCCCTTCAAAAATTGCAATCCCAAGTCCTTGAACTTTTGGTACTTAAGCATTTTGGTCCCCAACTTCACAATTTTGTACACTTTTGCTCCCTTTTCACTTCCTTTTACCTTGTTGTCTTTTCTTAGATGATTTTTACTTACAAAAACAATAATTATATAATTGTGAGTAGAAATTCGTTCATTTTATCAATATTTAAGCTTATTTAAGTATTAAATAAGTGTGCAAAAACACACATATCAATGGTATTATCAAGTAATAAGTCTACTGGAATCCCAGTCTTCTCTTTTTAGCATTTTCTGGATGATTGGATCATCGTACTGCTTCATTGTTGTAATATTTACATTTATCTTTTTGGACTATCTGAATGGTTTATTTTCTTCATTGGCCTGTCTTGTAACTAACTGTACATAAATTCTTTCAGCGGTGGGCCCCAGTGTCTACTCAACAAAGACATGGAAGTTCAATTGTTGAAGTTTACAGAATTGTTGAAGAGGTTTGCATTTTATCACCCGTTTATGGCCTGTTTTAGGAATTTTCTTTGAAATATTTTCAGTCGTGCATATTTTGGTATATGAATATCTTCAGTTATCTTACTGTGAATTCTCGAAAGAATTGAAAATTGTTGTAGTGTGGTATAATGACAGAGAAAAAAACACGTGATATTGTTTAGTCCATTAAACGTGTGATGTTACATTGCTCCCAAGCTTTCCGCTTGTGCCATTTTTATTGTTGATGTAAATTAAAAAATATTGTGTTGGGGGACTTTGAGTGGCTACTGAGAAGCAGAAAATTCTCTATGAAATGAATCATACGGGGCATTTTGAGGGGCTGTTGAAGGCAGAAACCATCTAGATAAGAAGAACTTGTGATGTAGAAGAAGAGGAGGCATTTCGTATGGCTGTACTGACTTAAATTTAACATATCTGTTCATCTTAATTTAATCTTTTACCAAGAGAAAGCGTACTTATTCTGATAATTACCATCTACTATGCATCATGTGAACTTAATCTGATGATTATCATTTCATCTTTCTTTACAGACAGTTGATCAGTTCTTTGCTCTTAATGTTCCAATGAGACCTGGAGAATTGAGTAGCCTTGTTCGTGGCATTGATAATGCTTTTCAAGTATATGCCAAACATGTGGCTGACAGCCTAGGTATACCATTACTTGGAGATGTGATGCCAAATGTTTTTTCGTCTATTAACTATCAATTTTGATTAATTTATTGTGAATAAACTTGGAAGAAACTTAAACCATCCATCGATTGTGTTTCAAAACTCACCCAAAAAGAATACATGTTTGAAATGAAGACAAAATGATAATTTTTGTTTCTATGATGGCATTTTAGAAATTAATGGTCATGCTTGTTTTGCTGGGAAATATGTGTCTCCGCTGAAGACATGGAAATTTATGGATCATATTACAAAATTAAAATTCTGAAATTAATTAATTAAAGAGGGGTTCCATACGTGCATTTTTTCATTTCATGCGTGTGACCTTAGTAGAGAGGATGAAATAAGAATGAGAATATACGAACAAGTGGAGGTGATACATGTTGAGGCAGCATAGGCATAACAATGTTACCTTTACATTTTTTTATTCAATAGTATTTCTGTAAGGAGTTCATGCACTTCCCTTTGTTTTTAAGTTGTTCTCGGTCGGAAGAATGTGATGTAATTTGTATTTTTAGTTTAAATTTGATTTCTTACATTTTAAGCTATCTCTTTTTCTCTTGATGCATGGACGTTTTTATCATGATTAATAAAATTATGTTCCTTATTATAAAATAGAGCAAAGTGAGCCCACTAGGATAGGTCGGGGAGGGGGGGGGGACCAAAATATTAAAATTATCGGATGTAGAAAGAATTAGATTTGTATTAACTTCCAATATATTTAGTAATAGATCACACAGAGTGGTGGAAAGGGATTCATGTAGCTAATGGATTGTTCACCAATTTTCTTTAATAAATAGTAGAAATTCATACTCGCCCCCATGGAACCTAGGTCTACAAGATTGAAAGATTAGTCATTCACAATCACTGATGACATTTCTTGTTAGTGTAAAACCAATTGGCAAGTGGTGGTATCTTTTCCGCTTGATATTGTTGTTGTAACTTATCATTCTTACTGACATTGAATTACAGCTTCTGGGTTTTATCATCTCTGAAGAACCCGCTCTTGTGTGATGGAGCATCCCTCCCTAATATCCAAATCCACCATAACGGCAACATCGCAGGCGCCCAGTGGACCCAACAAAACCGGCCTCACACCACATAACGAGCCACAATCGCAGGCGACGGCCCTGGGTGTAAACCCTAGCACCATCGCCCGATCTACTATTTTGCCCGACGACCCAGCCACCTTTGAAGCAGGCGACGGCGACTTGGGCGGATGGCGAGTGTTCACAGGTAGAAATCGGCCGGGGATTCGAGCCCAGATGCCTCAAGATCCGACCACAGGGGAGAGGCGGTGCGATGGACGCGCCGATCTGGTCATGCGCTTGCCTAAGCCGGAGTGTGGCGCCCCCGCGCCGCCCCAAATAAGGGCTCAGATCGTGCAAACTTCGCCGGGGACAAATAACTATCCTGTTTCTTCGTATGATGCTTCGGTTGCACGGAATCTAGGGAGACAGAGGGTTCCTAATGGCATGTTGATCTTCAGCTCCAGTTTCAAATTTGAGGCAAAACAATTTGTTGTGTCTCTCACTGATTCAGGCATGGTTAAGATATCAAAATGGGGAGCTAAGATCTCTAGTGCTATTCACATGGGAAGATTTGGAGCTATTTGGATGGTTAATATGATGGATAAGTTAAGGATGGCTAGTGTGTCGGAGGATTTTGTAGCAAAATTTAATGAGACCCCCCGAGCGTTTTTGGCACAACGATGTACTAACAGTTGTGGAAGGTATCTCATAATAGCGCAGTATGGGGAGCGACGTCGAAAGGGTGTAGTGATGGTACTTGAAGGGCGTAATGGAGAGGGATGGGCAACGATCTCTCGCATGTTTCAAGCAGTTATAGAATCATTTGTTGTTGAAGATAAGGCCAAGCATCGAGTAGTGGAAGATCAGAGCCTGCAAGGGATGACCTATGCTGTAGTTACGGCACGAGCCTCTCAAAATGCTGATCAATGGGTACGGACGCAGAAGGATAAATCGGTAAATGAGAGGAGTGATCCACGAAACTAGGGACCAAACAATGAAGGCCATTTAACGGCGCATAAGGACAATAATAAGACTACAAAAGGAACGTTTGATATTTCTGCAAACTATGCTGACATAAGGGCACACATAAAGGCACTGAAAGGGGAATTGGATGAACTAATGAGGTTATTGGATAGCGGGAAGACAATGGGTTATAGGCAGATGTATTGTCATGCGTGTGAAGTGGGCTCAGATGATTATACAGCAAATGGAAATGTAGTAGCTAATGAGGTGTCTAAGGGTTTGAAAATCGAAGAGGGCTCACACTACACAGGTGATGGTTGAGCCAAGTGGCGAGGCCCAAGTACAAAGTAGAGGGGCGGAGGTGGAAGTAAGGGACAAGGAAGGGGAATCGAGTTTGATGAATTTGGAGTCGGAGAGACCGGATGTGGCAATTGAGAAACAACAAGGGGCAACAAGTTTGGCAAAGATGGCCACGAATACCTACTGTAGGAGATATTCTAAGTCTATAAATGAGGGGGAATCAGGGACTGATAAAGCGCTAGTTGTGTGGGTGGAGGGCGCCAAAAAGGAGGATATAAATAGGGATGTAGGTCGGGTGGAAGAAGAGGACTTACAATATGATCAGTTTTCCTCTGGGGAGATAGTGGAAATGAGTAAGCTTGACATTAGACCACCACCATCGAGCTGGGCTCTTCAAAAAATTTTGGACTTCAGCAAAATGGTGGGGGTGTCTTGCGATGGGTATGAACATAAGCTCTTGCAACTATTTGAGGAGTTGGAGGTGAGCAAGGGACAAGGGATGGATACACCAGGAGGTAAGACAAGAAGAAAGGGTGATCGAGAGCTTAAAAGGCTTGAATGCTCGGTTAATTATGACATAAGGAGTGGTGAGTCAAGAAGAGGATTGATGGGGAGGGATGACGGTGCGTCAAGATGATCCCAAAAATAGTTAGCTGGAATGTGAGGGAGCTTAATGAAGCTGGTAAAAGGTTAGGTGTTCGAAATCTCTTAAGGGGTTGGAAGGCTGACATTGTTTGCTTACAGGAGACAAAGTTGGAGACCGTTTCGAGGGCTGTTGTAAGTAGCTTATGGGGGGGGGGGGGGACAACATATTGGGTATCAATTTGTGGGCTCAATGGGGGCTTCAGGAGGGGTGCTAATTATGTGGGATACTAGAGTCTTTCAGTTGGAAGAGGATGGTGAAGGGCTATTTTCCCTATCCCTTTCATTTACAAATATTGGGGATAGATTTCGTTGAATGTTCATAGGAGTTTATGAGCCTAATGTCGATGAAAGTAGAGGCGGATTGTGGGATGAATTGGCAGGTATGATGGCTTGGTGGAACCTCCCAACGTGCATTGGGGGTGACTTTAATGTGGTCCGCTTTCCTACCAAAAGGTCTAGCGGCGGGAGACTAACAAGGGCTATGGAGGACTTCTCAGATTTTATCAGGGAGAATATGTTGGTGGATATGCCTTTGATGGGGGGAGATTTTACTTGGTCATCTAATCGAGAGCTTCCTGTTCATTCTAGAATAGATCGGTTCTTGATTAGTGTGGAGTGGGAGGCTAAGTACCCGGACGTCGCTCAGAGGAGACTAGGGAGGGTGTATTCAGATCATTTTCCAATTTCATTATTTGGGGATGTGGGATATAGCGGGAAAAGGCCTTTTAGGTTTGGAAAGATGTGGCTTAAAGTAGACGGTTTTGGTGAGTGAGTACGGACTTGGTGGGCCTCTTACAAGTTCACGAGGTCCCCCAGTTATGTGTTGGACCAGAAATTAAAGGTTTTAAAAGGAGACCTCAAAAGGTGGAATAAGGAGGAGGTGGGGGATGTTAACTGGCGTAAAAATCAATGCACCTCAGAAATAGAGGAATTGGATAGGAAGGAGGAAAGTCGAGGATTGGGAGGGGACGAGAGGGAGCGACGTCAAGAATTAAGGGGTGAGCTGGAGAGGTTGGTGGAGGTGGAGGAGATTTCTTGGCGCCAAAAATTTAGGATCAAGTGGTTGAGAGAGGGAGATAAGTGTACACAGTTTTTTCATAGGGTGGCCAATTCCAACAGGTACAACAATCGTATCTTTATGCTGGAGGTGGATGGGGTAACTTATGAGGAACCACAGGATATTGGTACCCAAATGGTGAGTTTCTACCAAAACCTTTATAAGGAGCAGTTTGATTGGAGGCCAGAGCATGAGGGGCTAGAGTTTTCCACTATTTCTGAGGAGGATGTTAGTTGGTTAGAAAGATCATTTAGGGAGGACGAGATTAGGGAGGTGGTGTTCAGTATGAATGATGACAAGCCCCAGGACCGAACGGATTCTCCTTCGCATTCTACAAGGCTTGTTGGGATGTGATATGATCAGACATTGTAGATGTTTTTGCTTACTTTTTTCAGTATGGCAGATTCTTGAAAAACTCTAATATCACATTTATTGTGCTGATCCCAAAAAAACCAGGAGTGACAGACATTAAGGACTTTCGACCTATCAATCTAGTAAGTGGGGTGTATAAGATTATTACAAAGGTTTTGGCTAATAGATTAAAGGAGGTGCTGGGAAAAGTGGTGTCTAAATATCAGAATGCTTTTGTCAAAGGGCGACAGATCTTGGACTCCGTTCTCATAGCAAATGAATGCATTGATTCAAGACTACGTCAAGGGGCTCCAGGGATGCTATGTAAACTTGATATTCAAAAGGCCTATGATCACGTGAACTGGGGTTTCCTATTGTATATGCTCAGGCGATGTTGTTTCGGGGCCAAGTGGTGCCAGTGGATTCAATTTTGTATTTCTACTGTCTCTTTTTCAGTTTTGGTAAACGGCACTCCTAAAGGCCATTTCCGGAGTAATAGGGGATTGCGACAAGGAGATCATTTGTCTCCATTACTGTTTGTTAATGTAATGGAGGCATTCAATAAAATGGTTGGAAAGGCTGTGGGGCAAAGTTTGTTAAAGGGCTTTAGGATTGGTCAACTGCAGATATCTCATTTGCTATTTGCAGATGATACTCTGATATTTTGTGACGCAGACGTTGAGCACTTTAGGAATTTGCGTCGTTTCTTCTGTGCTTCGAAGCCGTATCTGGAATGAAGATAAATTTGGGGAAATCTGAGGTCATCACTGTTGGAGAAGTCGATAATGTGGAAAGGACGGCTGCTACATTGGGTTGTAGGGTTGCACGGTTGCCTATGACATATCTTGGGCTCCCATTAGGAGCAAGGTTCAAAAGTAAACACATCTAGGATAGTATAGTGGAAAGGGTGGAGAGGAGATTAGCAGGTTGGAAGCGTATGTACCTTTCAAAGGGAGGTCGCCTTACTCTTATTAAATCTACTCTCTCGAATCTCCCCACTTATTTCTTGTCTTTATTTCTCATTCCTGTTATAGTGGCTAAGAGACTAGAGAGGATCCAAATGGAGTTTCTTTGGGGAGGGTTAGGAGAGGAGAGGAAATTTCATTTAGTAAATTGGGGTGCATTTTGTTCTCCCACAAGGGTTGAGGGACTCGGATTGAGGAGCCTTGTATTGTTTAATAAGGCTTTGTTGGGTAAGTGGTTGTGGCGGTTTGGGGTGAAGAAGGAGAGTTTCTGGAGAGAAATTACAGAAGAGAAATATGACATTTTGGAGGGTGGATGGTGTTCAGTTGAGAGTTGTGGTACCTACGGGGTGAGTTTATGGCGGTATATTCGACGAAAGTGGAGTGATTTTCGGAATAGAGTGACCTTCGGTGTGGGGAATGGCAATACTATCAGCTTTTGGGATGATTGTTGGTGTATTGATCAACTGTTAAGGGAGCGATTTCCTTCTTTGTATCGTATTGCCGTGATGCTATCTGCTATGGTGAATGATGTATTAGATACACATAACGGGAGCATCAGTTGGAACATTGTTTTTGGGAGGGGACTACAAGATTGGGAAGTGGATGATTACGCAGTGCTATTGACCTCTTTGTATGAAGTGCATATCAGGGTAGGAGAGAGTGACCGCATTAGGTGGATGCCGACAAGGGATGACATTTTCTCAGTTAGCACTTATTTTAAATCCTTATTGGGATCTGTGGAGAATTTATTCCTTTGGAAGATAGTATGGAAGTGTAAACTGCCTACAAGGGTGGCGTTTTTTCTATGGACGGTAGTGAGAGGACAAGTTTTAACGCGAACAATCTTCGATTGAGGGGTTTTATATTACAAATTGGTGTCATATGTGCAGAAAGGATGGGGAAACGGTTGACAATTTGTTCCTGCATTGTGATGTTTCTGTTTGCTGTGGAATGATATTCTGGCTTCTCAACATATGGATTGGGTGATGCTACGGCGTATGGAAGATTTGTTGAAGGCTTGGAGGAGAAAGTTTCGTGACAAGGACAGTAAACTCGTTTGGGACCTTATTCTAGGCTACATTGTTTGGTGCGTGTGGAGAGAGAAACGGACACTGTTTTGATGATCAGATAAAGACTTTAGAGCAATTTAGAGAATTATTTTATTTGACATTGTTTAATTGGTTTAATGCTATAGCTTCTAGTCATATAGATGGGTTGCCTAATTTCATGACGTTAATTTCTTGTTTAAGTGTATAATACACTTCCTGTGTATTACCTTTTAATTAATAAAACATTTGATTACTTATAAAAAAAAAAAAAAAAAAAAAAAAACTCATCATTCTTACTGAGTGTGTCCCACTCGATCTAGTTACAAGATAAATATGTTTTTATACTGTAAATACTAGTACTTGAGTGTTCACTTTTATTTGTGACTTTTGAATGGAAGAAATGTCCACTATTTGGTGTGCAAATTTCAGATACTTTGTTGTTTCATATCTTCAAATGTCATGTGGTAGCGATGTGTGGCATCTACTTAACAAATGCAAAAAACATGGTGAAGTATTGATATCCTGTTTGATTGCGTTTACTTTACACTTGCTTGCACATTGATCTGTTAAATAGAATCTATCATATCTACCATTGTATTAAGTACCTGCATATCAAGTCTTGCCATGAATTCTACAATTCTTTATGCCAACTGTCTCTCCATAAGTCTTGACTGCAATATGAGCCTGGTAATTGGTATTTCCAACTGTCCCTGTTTTTCCATTCCCTATTCCCCCCACTCCCTCCTCCGCCGTTCCTCTCTTATTGCTTCATGCTGAAGTGATTCAGCTTACCGATGGTCAGTAGGTTGAAGTGTTTGGCCTGCTCACTTCATTGAAGTTAGTTTGTGCAGGGCATGGACGCATTCCTATAAAATCACATCTTTGTTATTGTATCATAGTTTTACCCTCCTTTGATTGACATGTTAATCTTGGTGCAGCTAACAAGGAAGATATAATTCCACCTGTACCAATTCTCACGAGATACAGGAAGGAATCCGGAATTAAAGCTTTTGTAAAGAAGGAATTAACAGATTCAAGGTTACCTGAAGTTAGAAAATCGAGTGACATCCAAGTTTTGGCAACTCCAACTCTCTGCGTCCAATTAAATACCCTTTATGTGAGTTCAAAGTAAAAATACTCTGTATTTTCACCTTTCTGGCAATTTACTTATTCTACCTTTGTTATTTCCTTTCTGTGGTTAGCTTTTTCCCCTTTACCCCATCCAAGACATGCATTCACGCACATGAAATGACAATAGATTCAAGAAACCAAAATGTATTGTCTGCTTTTTCTTATTTTTGCATATTCTTGGGGGTAGTGGGGGAGGGAAAAGTGGCATTGCTCTGTGACTTAGTAGTGTTTCGTTACACTTGATTTTAGATGCAATAGGAACTAGTGTATTCCAACTTGTCCGATCATCTAGTAAATGATTTAGTAGGATCCAATCTTGTCTTAAATTTAGAATGATTTAGGTAAGATTTTTCTCTTGATCTAGAAGACATGGTATTTATATTTTCAACATCACACAACATGCTGAGGTAATATGGGTTTTCTTCTTAAGTGAGCAAGAAAGTATCCTAAAAACTTGTTTTGAAATTTAAACTAGTTTGTGATTCGACAATGACAAACCAGGTTTAGGGGGAAAAAAACCTTGAAATATAACCAGGTTATCCCTAAACGTAGTCCGATCCTATTTGTAAAGTTCCCAAGAGAGCCTCACTAAATTTAGAAATTTGAGCGACTTTGTAACCTTAATTTGTGCTATCCATGTAGTTTCTTCTAGTTCTGGACAAAAGAATTAGTTGATACTTTCACTGGATGTGCTTAAAAGCTTATTGGGAAGCACGTATTTTATTTTCCATGGATGTCCAGTGGAAAAGATTGAGACAGAATGCTTGATACTGGGAAGATGTCTCCAGCATATTTTTGGACTTACAAAAGTGCCTCTTGATGTCTTCTGAGGTATGCAGTGGAGCTAATATCCTGGATATTGATCTTTGGGAAAATATTCCAGGGTCACTTAAAAATATTTAGAGTTTTACGATGACATTCTTTGAACTTGCATCCCTACAGTTTCTTTTTTTTTTTTGCACTCATTTTATTCTTTCAACGGTTTTAGGTTTATTCTTTTTTGCTTATGATCACGTGTTGCCACCAAATCTAATGCATAACTTTTTGGTCAAGCTTAGTATGGAATTAGCCAACTGAATAGACTTGAAGATAGCATTTGGTCACGGTGGACAAGAAAAAGGAACCATGACCAGTCGTTAAGTAAGTACTGCATTGTTGTCCTGTAAAATCAGAATGAATTCCCTTTGAATTATTAGTTAAGTTTTGTTCATCGTTATATAATTCATTTTGAAAAACTATCCCAATATAAGTAATTTTTGTTTGTAAGAATCTTTGTTACCCTTGTGAATTCCGTTTATGCAACAGTTCATATGGGTACTGATTTTTAAATTATAGCAACAAAAATTGTTATTTCCTTTTACTAATATACCTCTATGGTTAATGCTATTTGTATTTGTATGCAGAGAAACCCGTGGAAGAAAACTTGAGAAGTTCCACGAAGGACACGTTCGATGGGAGCAGAAAAGATATCAACGCTGCTATTGATCAAATTTGTGAATTTACTGGTGAGCAATGCATGTGGATTTCTTTGTAAGTTTGTAATGGGTATGGTTATTTACTTAAAAGAGTCCTCTCTTCACTTTTTAGGAACTAAAACAATTTTCTGGGATCTGAGAGAGCCTTTTATTGATAATCTATACAAACCAAGTGTTGCTCAGTCAAGGTTGGAGTCACTGATTGAATCTCTTGATACGGTATGGATTATTTTCGTTCTAAGTTTTGTCTTTTGCTGTTAGCTTTTTCCTGATCTCTGTTCTAAGCTATATTTTGAGTGGATAAAGAGTATATTTTGACCATCTTCAATTATATTTTAAGCTTTGCCAAACATGGCATTTGTGTGTATATACGTTAGCTGTAATAATTGTACAAATGCCTGCAGGTGCTTAATCAATTGTGTGATATCATCGTGGAGCCACTCCGAGATCGTGTAGTCACAGGGCTTCTTCAAGCATCACTGGTTTGTGTTTGAATTGTTGGAAAAGTGAAATGGACTTTTTGCTCATTTGACAAACATATTCTGTCTTCCAGGATGGCTTTCTCCGTGTTATATTAGATGGAGGTCCTTCACGCGTATTCACCCCAGCCGATGCTAAGCTACTAGAAGAAGACTTGGAAACCTTGAAGGTACATACAGCGTAACGTTGGCACTATTCATTTGCTTGTATGCTGCTTCACTTGGCATCTATTGCATCTGAATTTTAAGAAGAATTAGGTGATATTTTTGTAATGATCTTGTACTTATTTAACGATATTTATGTATAGGAATTCTTCATTTCTGGAGGCGATGGACTTCCTCGTGGAGTTGTGGAGAATCAAGTATCACGTGTTCGACAGGTGATAAAGCTCCATGGATACGAGGTTAGTTGAAGAAAGTGGCTACTCAGCTCATTGTGAATATTATTTGGGTGACGATCATTTTTCCCATGCAGACTCGGGAATTGATCGACGACTTGAAATCTGGATCTGGTGGTGAAATGGAAATGCAGGGTGGCGGTCGGAGTAAACTGGGGGCCGATATACCGACCCTCATACGAGTATTGTGTCATAGAAATGATTCGGAGGCTTCTCAGTTCCTCAAGAAACAATATAAGATCCCCAAATCTACTGCAGCTTAGTGTGATGATCTTAACAACAAACACTCTTTTATGTATTATCCTTCTTTATGCTAATAGTGATTGCCAATGTAATCCATTATTCTTTTCCTTTTGTGCGTGGGATGAAATCATATAATTAATTCGTTTATTCAAATTTGATCACAACTCTCAATTTATTATTATAACATTCAAATGGATAATTGCAAAACCTTTCAAAACTTCAAATTATATAGCAAGGGAGGCTTCAAACTGCGACCAATTTAACCTATACAGCCACCATCGTATCACCTCCGTCGATATCATACCATCTCCTTCTACTAATAATCTTTACTTCACACAATTGAAAAGAAACAAGTGAAAATAGATAAATTTACTTCAAAACCAAAACTAAGGTTGCCAGTGGGTGGAGCGTTGGAAATGGGTAATATATTTGCGAATGAAAATCGTTCAATATCCTTCCACCACATAGTTTTCAAAGTTATAAAACCTCAGCTCCTACAATTGAAGCGTCTGGCTGTAATCTGCATATTTTTGAAGGTTTTAACCTCCTCTGCCATTATCCATTGTTCAAGCATCAATTTTATCAATCGTGTATTTTTATAAAATGTAAGTTTTCCGGTATCATTTTTGTGTAGCTTTGTTTTTATAAGCACAAGATTGAAAGATCTTTAATTCAAGTTCTATCAAATTATGAAAATATTAGTCTCATTTTTTCATATTAGAAAAAAAACGAATAATAGGAAATTAAATTGCCTAAAAATTATTTTTCTTGAAATTGTTAATTTATTTTTTTGATTGAAATAATTTTTCACATGAAAAATATTGAAATAAAAGTATTTTTTAATGTTCGTTTGACTTTATTTTACATGAAAATTATCAATAAAAGAAATAAAATTTACTGCTATTGGAAATAAAATTTGTTGCCATTGCCCAAAAAAAAAAAAAAAAAAATTCAAAAAAATCCACTTAACTTCGTTTAATTTTCATTAAAGAAAAGTATTTTTTTTTCAATAATTCTTAAAATTTGTTTCCATTGCAAAAAAATAAATAAATAAATAAAAATAAAAAAAATTCACTTTCCCATCATATAGGTGGGAAAATGAATTCCTTCAAATCAAGGAAAACTGGCGTGTGAGAGGGCACCGTGGAATTCACTTTCCATGGAAATTCTTTACAATCACTCACCCACAATTGGCCAAAATGGAAATTAATTTTCATTTTCCATGGAAATTGATGCCTATCAAACGGAGCCTAATAGTTGATGGCAGATACAAACTAACCAACAAGATAAACCAGAAATTCTCTAAATATCCACGCAATCTTAAAACTTCAGAAGCAAATTTAATTACTTGATTTTGAACACCTAAAATCTGGTAAAAATTGCAGCAACATATGAAGTTTTACATCTCTCCACATTCAGCAATAACACAAGCCAATTTAGGCCTGTTGTTGGGTCCCGTTGCCACATTCTCAATCTTCCTTACAACCAAAAGACCATCTCCAAGCACACGCTGCACAGAATTTGAATATTTCAGAAAAGTACACGGTTCACTACCAAGATTAAAATAAATGTTTTTCGCTGGAAAGAGGGGCGTGAATAATTAGATCAACAACACGATAATTAGTTTATCACGAGATAATTAAAACTAGGAACCTGCAGATGCCTGTCGATTTAAACCTTAGGTAGCAATAGGATATAATCATATTCATTTAAATTCTAGTTTAAAGACGAGTAAAAAAGTAAGTTTGAATCTTCCGATCAGAATATGGCATCATAAGTTCTTAAACAATAAAAACTGTACCAACAATCTATCAATCTTGAAGATGCATTAAACAATTTATTATTCAAGTAAAAGACTTAGTTGACAGATTTAATAGATTTAATCCACAGAGCACTTGATACATACCCCGAAAACAACATGCTTATTGTCGAGCCAGTCACACTTCGCACAGGTGATGAAGAACTGCAATACATAAAAATGTAAATTTGAAGCAATTGACAAAGTCATTAAATATGATTGTCTTTGGGTAGAGAGTCATACATAAATACAATTTGTAACATCTACACTGATTCAAGTAAAAATAAAAAATAAAAAAATAAAAAAGACAATTTGGCAGTGACATGAACATCTCCACAGAACATATATGTGAAGCAAAATGGCAAATTTATTCTTATATTATTTCCTTTATCCATGACTTAATCTACATACATTTACTCTCACGGGTAAAAGAAATGACGTTGAATTCCTCGTGCAGATAAACCAACACACTTGAATAATGAATTCAATGATGTAAACAAGAAATAAACTTTCATTTGTTACCTGACACCCATTAGAATTTGGCCCACTGTTTGCCTGCCAAAACAATTAGATACCCTTGTTAGAATAAAAATCAAGATCTCCATAACATCTTAGATGCTATATCATACACAGAATTTTGATTATGATGATTTGATCATTGGCAAACACAGAAGAACTTGCATCTAGCTAATTAGCACCATAACTGTTGGAGATACCATGTCACACAGCTGGTGGGTGGTTGAGATTCTAGGTTGTGGCCTGAGCCATTGGGCCCACAACTGATATGATACTAATTGGTCTAAAGCAACTCATGATGATTTCTACATCACTGCACACAAGTCCTAAGAAACCAACCTATGCGGAACAAAATGCCATAGCTTTCTGATGTGAGATCACAAAATTCTTTCCCTGCTCGTGTCCTCCTCAGGTAAAACAGACACACCAAGACCAGACATGCGGGATTCTAAAAGTGGCTCCTACTGGTTCAAGAGGTAACTCCTTTGTGCTGGTAGCACTTTGTGCCACATAGCATTTAGTTCCCCAGGTCCAACATTGTGACTTGCTCATAGGTCGTAACATAATGTCATATCCAGAGCTAGAGGACACCCAGTTTGTTAATCAAGCCCACGAGCACGTAAGTAGTTGGACTAAAGCCACTGCTCAGAAGGTATATCCAGTCATCGCACACAAGTACTAAAATGCCACTTCTATGCAGAACTAATATCCCTCATCTTTTCTCACACACTTTCATCCAATATATGAATTATTTCCGCAGGAATAGTACAAAGAGTTGTTTTACAACCAAACTTGCATAAGTTGAAAAATATTATTTGTTTACAGAAGGAACAAGGATCGAGCCCAATTAGGGCATTCTCTCAAAAACCCTGAACAATATTTATTAAGAGGATTCTACTAAAAGTTTTACTTTCCAGTGGACAAAATAAGTCCAATGCGTCCCTTCCTATACATGATAAAAAAATTATAAACTCCAAAGCAATATAGCAGTAATGGGATAAAAGGGTTTCAACATGCAAAATTCGACAAGATATGATTGGCTTGACTATCACAAATTGCTTCAGTAATACTATTTTTTTACATGTGATATAGCATCAAAAGAATCTCTAATGTTAAAAGTAACATTATGGAGAATGCTTGAATTTAGAAGAGCACAATTACAAAATTATACAGCAAGTCATATAATGAAATGTTCACCTAAGATTAACTCGGAATTTTTACAAAAACTGGGAAGGCATACAGCACGACAGCCGAATTAAGAACGAAATGACATACCATTGATAGTAGGCCAGGACCAGTGTGCTTTGCAGTAAAATTTTCATCATCGAACTTACTTCCATAAATGGATACGCATCCACTACCATCACCCTGCATAGCGAGGCTAACCATCAGATGACTGTGTTGACTACATGATGAAGTTGATGCGCTACAGTTTCTCTAAATAAATATTTTGCAATGTGAAACACCATTAGTGGTTTTACTCAATAACTGAAGTGCACATTATTAGGTGGTGTCATCCAATAGGAATAATAGGATATAACACACATTGATCGGAGAGAACGTCTAACCCCTTTAGTGTCATATTGAAACAAATAGGACTTATACATAGGATCTCCTAGTTTGCTTTACAAACACACGCACAGACAGAGAAAGAGATAGACCTTCAAAAAATCACCAGCTTGTATCATAAATTCTTTAATCACTCGGTGGAACTGGCATCCCTTGTAACCAACAGGTAATCCTCCTTTCCTGCTAATTCAGACTAAAAGTTGTTAAGAAGATAGGCAAAGAAAAACGTCTAGAAGATAAGAAACGTGAATAGATTAAACTCAATTTTTTCACAGAATATGGGCGATGTAAAAATCTAAATATGCTTATAGAATAGTAAGAGCAACTACTCAAGCAGCAACAGGAAAAAATAAATGACAATAGACAGAAAACAACCCAGTAATAGCATCAAAGTATGCAAGACAAAAGACAGCAGAATAATAAAGAATCAGTCACTACGTTCATGCTTAGAACCTACTCCCAAACATCTCATCCAGCAAGCTGCCACAATAAAATCTTTTTCAATTGAAGCATCGAGTTTCACAAATTTTAGATTACTGTGATAGCAGTTCATTGAAAATTCAGAGACTGTGCAAAAACTTCATCAAAACATAAAAGATAAAATCAAATTTGGAAAACATCCAGGAGGGTTTTTATAACATTTGTCAAATAATTGTTAAATTTACACAGATCCACTCCCCAGAGAGGAAATTTAACAAAATGTTTCAGAGTTAAAAGAAATAGTATCCAATGGATTAAAAATAATTAAAAGAGAAATAATATGATAAATAGCTCAACTGTATTCAAAAACATTGGTGATACAAGAGGACCTAAATTAATGTCTAAAACAGCAAAAGAGAATATACCGTTTGACTCTCTCCATTTTGAAAGAAAGCATAATACAGTTGTGGCAAAATAGGATACATAAATCCAATCTCAATTAGCGGAACATAACCACCCAAGTAAATTTGAATTATGGCTGCTAACCCCATATGAATTCTTTCTAATTGAATAAATATATAGAAGTATTACACTAAAAAAATTCTAAACGTTATCTGAAAGATAAGTTGCAGGCCTCTACTTTTAAAAATGAGGTATAGTGACCAGGAGGAGAAAAGTGAGTGACAAACGGATTAACGGACATAATTTGATACTCTTTTATTTCTGCTATGCTTTTCTCAGAGCTGTTCCACATCTTAATTCAGTATCTAAGAATCAGTGCAGTACTTAGATTGGCATTTCAAGCTTATCTTCTAGATCCCAGTTTTTGAAAGAGCAATAATATCTTCTTTATATGAAGATTATTTAACTTGATCCGAAATAATTCATGCTCCTCAGAGATAAGCCAGATTAAAGTACTGAAATATATAAACAATTTAGTCTAATAACAGATTTGAAATCAGAACTAGAGAATAAGATTTGACATACCTATATTCTCCTGTGCAGAACTGCCTGCCAAAAAAAGAAATAAAGAACGAGGTCATACCATACACCACACACGGGGAAAGGAGAAATGTACAGTATAGCTGAGAAAATATTTAGAAAACTTCGAGCAAACAGTCCTATACAAGTAAAAGGATCACAACATAAAACATGAAAACTTTCCAAGAAAGATAACAAAACCAAGAATATAAGATCTCTTTGAGGGAATTTGCCCAACTATCATTTTTCTAGGTACTAGACTGGAAATATCGCCTCCAAACCCCACCCCTGCCAACATACCCACCAGCAACAACTTCTTTCCCGCTCCAGCACTCCTCGCCAATTGCTTTGCTTCGTAAGTTTCATATTTATTGAGAATAAGTATTAGAATACACAGATATATGTTTGTGTAGTTGACTATGTTGATTGTGTAAGTTGAAGGTTATTTAATTTCTATTATCATTGTGCTTTTTTGGCACGGATGTTGTCAACACAGAATTTTTTTTTCCACACTTCTCCAATACCAGAAATTGGAGTCGTTCTGAAAAATCAGATACCGTCGTGCTACAGTGTTGAAAAATTCTATATTCGAAAGCTAGAAATCCATTATCTGTTAAAGTTTTGAATGTGAAACATTAAAACATGCATTAGGAAATAGAGATAGTCGAGATGGGGGTATTACCTGAAGTTTTCGGCGGTTTTAGGAGCAATATCGGCGAAGAGCTCCATTTTGATTCGGCCGGCGGGGATGTTGCCAATAGTGATGTCGAAGAATACAATAGGGTTCTTGGGGCTGGGTGGCCTCTGGTGCCAGTCCACCACCGCGCCGCCATTGGCTCCGACGCCTGACGCCATGTATCACTTGGGAACTGCTGCTATTGCTTCTAGAAATCACTGGGAGAATTTCGGAGAAGTGCAGGCTCTCGCCTAAAACGTTAATAAATTCGAAGATGTCGATTTTTTTTTTCCCCTTCAAAATCATTTTCAAAAATATACTAAAAACATAATTGTTAACTAAATCAAAGGGAAAAAAATAAAAATAAAAAAAGCTTATTAAGAGGTGTATTTAATTGAAACTTTTAATAATTTTTTGGGATTTAAAAAGTTTAAGAGTGTTCAATTGAAACTTTTTGATACTCTTTAAAAATCACAGTGTATTCAATTAAGATTTTTATAAACTTTTAAAAAGTCTCTAAAAGTTACGATGTATTCAATTAAAACTTTTTAGAAATCTTTATAAATTTTGGAGTATTCAAATTTTAATGACTTCCAGAAACTTTTTTTCTGGAGTACTAACTTTTAAGCAGAAAGTACTCATATAATATCTTAAAATTTGTTTCTCATTAATCATGAGATTTTGGGAAATTGTCACCAAATTTTTTTTTTCAATCTTTCTTTCCTTTAACCTTCTATAGACATGTATAAATAAAATTAATTTTTTTTCTATTTATTATATTCCATTTATTTTTCTTTATCTTTCTTATTATTTATCTCTATTTTCTATTAAAAAAATTAAATTGAATTCTTATAAAATTTTTTCTTTTTTATTCATTTTTGTGAAAAATATTTATTTTTTAGTAAATTATAAAAATTTATAACTAAATTTAAATATATTGATTTTTATTTATTTTTAAAAGTATATTATTCTAAAAATATTGAATCATATATGTATGTATAATTTTGATTATTAATTATTTAATTAAGGTCTTAAATTTTTATTTTTTCAAAAAAATTTTTTTGTTATATGGGAAGAAGAAGGAGGATGGAAAAGGGGAATTATGGGAACTAAAACCTCGTATGTGAGAATTTCACATCAAATCTATATGAATTCTATATCAAATAAAAGTTTTCAAAAGTCTTTTGAATTTCACAAAAGTCTATAAAAATTTTAAAATGAAAATTCATAGAAGTCTACAAAAAATTCCACTAATTCCATACAAATTTTTAAAAAATTCACGAAATTCATAAAAATCATCACTTAAAAAAAGTTCATCAAATTATTCAAAAATCTCAATTGAATACACCCCCTAAATTCAAACTAAAGGCCCATTTGATTCTCGTTTTTATCAAAATACAAATTTTCTATTCTTTTTAACCACTCTTTCTTTATTAAAATAATATTACATGAAAATAAAAAACTTTTTCTTATTTTTTCATCCACACATTCTCCATCAATTTACTATTCTAATATTCATTTTTTCATAAAAATGAGTATCAAACACATTCTTAATAACTTTCACTCTACGCATTGGATACCTATTTCTCGGTAAATTGTATTCTCGAGTTACGGATATACAAATCATTACCTATTTTACTCCACTCCTTCAGTAGAGAATCTTTTGAAGAGCGGAAAAAATAAATTTTGGTTCTATTTCGAATGCTAAGACTACCCTAAGAGGATTTGATTACAATCTCCATAAAAACACAATACTTGAAGCTTGCATTGAGGAATATCAATCTTCGGTCTTTAGCTTGGGATAAAATAGATCGCTTACTTTAGAGAGAGCTTCATCTTGTTAAATACAGTCATGACTCATGTAATTATTAACGATGTACTACACAAAGCAAATTTATCTAATAAATCTAGAGAAATGTCAATTGGGACATGCCTTCTTTTGAACTTCGAGTAAAATACTCCTTCACACGAGGGAGTGGATTAGGTGAAGACATCCACCTATCGTGCAAGGTTTTAAAGAAGGATTCAAGCGTAGAAGTAGAAGTTTCTGTGCATAGAATTAGCTCACTTCAATAATCCATGTTCAGTCATACTCTAAATGTTAATTTACTTTAAAATCTAATTCTAATTTCGTCTCAACAGAAACTGATTAAACGGATAAAATTGAGAAGTATCCAAAGCTAAGACACTGAGCAGTATAGCCCTCATTTGAATCTTATCTTAGAAGTACACTATTGGTTTGCTGTAAGGCTTGAATCTGTAAACACTTTTACTTTGGTAACTATCATTTCCTTGTTTCAGGTAAACATTAATCTCTGTTAATCCTTGTTTCAGATTCGAACCAAAGGTGGTCAATCTCATAGAATGTATAATGTGAACTTTTACATCAAAAGGCATGGATATTAGTCCAATACAGATTCCAGTTTTTAGATGCTAGCTCCTCCCTTATTCAATGTCGTACTCCGAGTCACAACGCAGAAACAAAACAGAGAGTAACGCTTTTTCACCCGTTTACAAAGAAAATACAGTTATACCCACAATACTATTGGGAAAAATGGGTGATTTGCGTGTAGATTGATTATCAATTAACACAACAAAATAACAAGTACAATTCAACAATAATATAACATAAAATAGAGAAGAGATTCAGAAGACAAGCTTTGGGAGTCACGATGAAAACGCCGTCGCAAAGTCATGTTGTCTTCCCTTCATACTTGTACTTTCGACACTACATGGTTCCAAGATAAAATTCATGTGACACAACAAATTCTCGTTCTATGGGCACAACCATAGAAAGATAAAGAACGAGATTCTCATCGAATTGCGAAAACTATAAAACATATACTATGAAAAATAAAGGAATTATTTTTATATTTTTAAGTTGTATCTTTTTATGATCCATATAACAATGAAATCACCATCCATTTTGTAGGAAAAACCGATCCCCACAATAATGTAAAATTAATCAATTCATAACCTCCATTCAAATATTTAAGTGTATTATATATTGTACATTAAAATTTTAAATAAACCAAAATTAAAAATTAAAAATGTAATAATTGAAAGTTAAAACTTAATATAATTTCCAACAATCCTCCACAAGTTTTAATCTTTCAAAATAAAGAAATATATATATTATATTGTGGCAACGTTATACTGTGTAATAGGTGTATGCGTCTTTTGGATTTGAACATCACTTAGAAATAACAATTTCCATTTGAGGAAGTTATAATGGACTAAGCCTTGAATTAGATCCCTTTGGCCAAATTGCAATCATTCCACACACAGTATTAATTTAGGCTCTAGTTCATAGCAGGCAACGCTCTTAATGGTCATGCACTCTAATCTTAATTCTAGTAAGAGTCTAGGAAATAGTCCAATCCCATAGCCATGGTTTCATGATAACTCTTACATAAGTGAGTCTTCCAAAGGTGCGTGTGACTTACACCTCGCGAGAATTCTTGCCTCGATACTCATTCAGAGTTAAATTATTACTAACATCACATTTTATTAACACTATATTATTATAGGGATGAGTACAAACAAAATAGTGCGATTACAAGTCACGCAGTGCAGGTTGTTTTTACTACATTGAACCTTCTTCATGGAATCTTCAATCATAGGTTATATTACTCCCGAATGTGACTTCCTTAGTGCTTAAACCCATCCCCTCATGATTTATTATGTCCATTACGAACTATGATTTATTTTATGTCCTTGAAAAATAATTTGGTACCATCAATATTTGCAAGCTCTTATTCTCCACTTGCACATTTGCAAAGTTATCTAAGAAATTTTCAAAATATTAATATCACATAAGATAAATACGTGAACTTTCTAATTTTGACTTTTAGTAACACATTTGGGCTGATGCATCCATTAAACTCTTGCATTTCGCCTGCAGTTTTGCAATTTTATTTTAAACACTTTTCAAAAATCATTTTACAAATAAGGATAATAAAAATTCAAAACATATCTATCTCAAAATTCGGACATCCCACGCTCTAAAGATATTCAACTTGTGGAACTTCTTTACCACATTCCAAAATTGCCTTTTTTTTCTTACCTTCCTCGTACTTATAGGCAGGATGTCACTTACCATGGAGCAAGAAAGGATGGCATCTATTGCATGACATGAAAATTAAATGTATATGATTATTGGTCAAAATTAATGTCCCATATAACCAATATGATTTAATTAAATGGATTATCACTTAATCTATTTGACAAGACTTTATGAGATTAGTGATTAGTCCAAATATAAACATATACCATTAATTATCCAACTTGAATAATATGATCGAATACAATGATGCTCATGTTTCACAAAACATTAACCAATAAGAAATTAACATAACCATAAAGTATCAAATATGGTTTAACAATATTGATCTAAGTAAACATGCTTTCATACTAATAAAATAAGCCTTAGATACAAAATATTTACAATTTTGTACTCCAATTTAGCTCACACACCATGTCATAATTTAATTAGACCATAAACTTATTTTCAAATACAGTACATCAAATATATTGCAAAAGAAGATTAAACACAATCACGTGAAATTCTAGCAAATATAGAATATAGCCCAAATTCATCGTTCACCCTCATTCATTTTAATAACTTAAAATTATGAGGGGATCATATAAAATTTAAAATAATTTAGCATTAAGATTTGAAGCTTTCCAAACTTAAATAAAAATTAATCATACTACATGATAGTATCATTATATACCTTTTCTAAAATATTAATTAAATACGTTATTGAGGGTTAAATTCTTTTAACCAATCGTTCTAAGTAAAATTCATAGAATTCTCATGCAATCAATATAATTCAACCAATTCATGAGCATGACTAAATGTTAGTTTTGGTTATAATATACAGTGATAATATCTCATCATATAGGCTAGAATTTGTCTTACCTCTAAAATATAACTATCCAAATTAAAATTAGAGATAATGCCAAAAAATTGGCAATCTTATCTGATTATGGTCCAGCAAACCAGGTTGCTGCAGCACAAGTGGAGTATATGTGTTCGATACATACTCTCATGTTTTCTGCTAAATGCATTTCGGTGGATCAACAAAAGAGAAGAAGCTTACTACAAGTAAACATAGATAATACATGTATGGGAGAAATTAGTTAAAGTTAACAACAACAAATGAGGTTCTCATTAATTATAAATTCCACTTTTTAGAACTCATCACCTACTGCAAACACAGATGAAACAAGGAACTTTATTCTTATTTTATCTTCCATCCATTAGAATTTTATACTGAGCTCCACTGAATAGGATGCTCACACACAACAAAACACCACTAATTTGACCCTTAAAAAGACATTTTAACAGTAATTCATATTGACTTTAATTAGACAAAAATGTCACACACTGTTTTCAAGTAATATAGTATAATGGGAATATAATTTACCATTTAGGCAATCATTATTCCCCTACGTTTTAGCATTTCCACAGAAATAATCACATAAATATCATAGAAACGAATTATGATACTAAAACTATGTATTTGCATGCCATATCATTTTCATAATCAACGACGAAATCCAAAAGGATAGAGTTATCACATAATTTAGTCAAATCATCATTTTAAGACGAGCACCATCGACTACAGCCAGGGGCGGACCCAGACAACTTGGCTTAGGGGGGCAAAAATAAAATTTATAGGGTATCTTCTAATAAAAAAAACTAAGGAAAAAAAAAAAAAAAAAAAACAAAAAAACTAAAAGAAAAAAAAAAAAAAAAAAGCTAAGCAATATTTTTTTTCCCCCAAAATCTAGGGGGTCAATTGCCCCTATAAAACCCCCCCTAGTTCCGCCCCTGACTACAGCCACGTGAAATATACCAATATACAACTCCAAAAGAATGAACACTCCAATGTACACTTACCAAAGAATTGTACAAACACTTTTAACTTCAATTACGAAACTCATTCCTAAGCCATCACGGTGTGTAGTTCACTTATTAAACCAAAATTCAAAGCAGAGCAAAGGATCAAACACTGTCTTTTTCTATGCACAAATCACTCCAACACGACTTTAGATTGTTGGAAAAAATGGATTATTTGTGTGTAGAATAAATATCAATTAACATAATAAAATAACAAATACAATTCAACAATAATATAACATAAAATAGAAAAGAGATTTAGAAAGTAAATCTTGGGAGTCACGTTGAATACGTCCTAAAGTTGTTTTGCCTTCCTTTCGTGCTATTATTTTTGACACTACACTGCTCTATGATAAAACTCATGTGACTCAAAGTCGATTCTCCTTCTATGAGCACGACCATACGGAGATAAAGAACGAGCCTGTCATCAAGTTGCCAAAACTATAGAAATATAGTATGAAATATGAACGAATTATTTTTATGTTTTCAAGTTGTATCTTTTAGTGATTTATCTAACAATGAAATCACCATCCCTTTTATAGGAAAAACCAACCCCACAATAATGTAAAATTAATCAATTTATAACCTCCATTCAAGTATTCAATGCCATGGGTGGATTACAAAAGATAAGTCATTCTACATCTAGAGATTTTTAGTTCAAAACTTCTTTTATGATTTCTTGTTTCGAAAAATCTGAGTAATGAACATATCACTGGTACTAGAGTTATTTTACCAGCATCGTTTGCTACAGTGCAAATGTGCTTCTCTTTTCTTTCAATTTTAGCTTGGTAAGTTCCAAGAGTAGAGTCTTCCATACTTTAAGAAGCTCAGTTCATCTAAATCCCATTATCCTGCCTGCCATTTTCTCCTAAGATTTACCTTGTCTCAACCTAGATATATGAGAGCTCTAGTAAATAATTCAATCTTATTTAAATGTGCAACTCATAAAAACTCCCCAAGAATTCTTCATTCAGATGCGTTTGATCTCTTTCAAAGACACAAGTATAACGTCTGAATTGAACATTAAGAACACCCAAAAGAAAAGGTAAATTTAACATGCATATTAGAAATGTAATTTAGATGGAGGGCATCTTGGGTTCAGTGACATGAGCGTTCTTGCGGATCTCAGAGGCGACGGTGGAGCGAAGCTGGGAGGGTTTGACGACGTCGTCGAGGACGTAGATATCCATGAAGGTAGGGATGGATCTACACGCCGTCTTGAAGAACTCAAACACCCGCTTCCGCGCCGCCTCCATGTTTGCCGAGTTCGGTGGGACGCGAACATACTTCACTGTAGACGCCACTCTCTCTCTCTCTCTCTCTCTCTCTCTCTGATTTCCTGTTAATGATGAAGAACAAGAATATTTTGAATTGGGTGTGGCGGCCAATTTCCTCGAGTTTTGGAGGTGTACAACCCGGACCGGCCTTGCACGACTTGCTTTTCTAACGGGCCAAATGAGATCCGGTTCGTGCAGATGAAAAAGATAAAAAATAGTAAACACTGAGGGGGGTTCAATCAAATTTATATCTCTAGCCAAAAAATATGATCATAATTGGTCATATTGCGAAAATGTAAACATAGCAAATCATGCACTATACCCACAAACGGGTAAAATTATACTATCCAAGTCCAAATCTAATTCCAAAGGGTAAATAATGCACGACTAAAATATATCACATCCCGAAAGGTGCATAGTTCTTCTGCAGTGTGTCAACCTAATGTAAAAAGGGAGATCAAAAGCTGCTCTTCAAGTAACCAATATCATGGTGAACTGCTCGTGTTGCTAACAGATAAGGAAAATTCCAGAAGTAACTTCACTAACGAAATAACTTTCTTCATCTCGTTTAAATAGCCGAGAACCTCAGCTAGAAGCAATTGAATTACAACTTCTCTCTCCATCAAAATTAGAATTTTCCGAAGCTGAAACACAATCTACTAACTACTCCAGGAAAGACATGTTTATTTCCCAATGGGAACCACATAATTAGAACAGTCTCTCATCGTAATCCAAATATCTCTTCTGGAGGATCATAAACACGCTGATCGGGAAATATTTCCTCAAAATTCTGCTTCACCCTATTCCTCAACAAGGGATGTGGCAGTAGCCCCTTCAATAATATCCTGAATGGCAAGTCCTCAGGTGGATCTGGAGACTTCTTCATGTCCTCAAAAATATTCATGGCATCAGCAGGAGACCCATATGCCAAGAAACCACGAATAACTTCAGCATATGTTTGAGAATCAGGGAACAAACCTTCCTTTCTCATATTTTCCCATAATTCCGTTTCGTCCATCATCTTTTTGCTAGCTACTACAATGATCAAGTCTTTGTACACATAAACATTTTTATTCGATTACTGATCTTATCTATTGCTTGAATTGTCCATTCAATAACTTCTGATCCTAAAACCCTCTTCTCGCCAACTTTATTCCTGTGAATTGGTGATTGGTACTTTCTACCATAAAAAGATTCATATGATATGCCAATGGTAGATTGAAAATTATTGCTACAAAAAGACTCCACAAAAGGTAAGTTTGATTACTAATTTAGATTTGTGTATAATATTATTTTATGAAAAATATATAATTGAAAATAATATATTTTGAAATTAATAGGGACCAAACAATGGCTCAAGCAACATAATATTAATGAGAATAATTCAATACCTTTATTATAAGAGTAATTCTATTTAGTCCCACAGGGTTATAACCCCAGTTTATGTGGCATTAATGTGTCACTAAATGATAAGTATGATTAAAGAGTCATTTAATTTAATTTTTTATTTAGCCTATTACTTAACACCACATGAATTTGGCTATAACTCCATTAGGGCTAAAATATCATTACTCATACTCTTATTATAAACATCGCATACGCGTTTTCATATTTTGGGGTCGTAGTTTAATTACTTTGCTTTCAATATTATTACATATGTTTTCATCAATATACACAATTAGATTATTATTCAACCATTGAATCTCCAATCCAATGTTTTGATTCAAATCGTAGGTTGAAGGTCTAGAGGCATTTAGTGTTGAGGTGGAGAAAAATATAGACGATCCTCGAGTTGCTACAGATAAGCTGAGTAAAAAGGGGCAATTATTTTATAAAAATGACAAACTTAAGTATCGGAAGAAAAATGAGATTCAGGACGCAAGAGAAATGTGTAACAAAAAATTAAAGGGAAAAAATTCATGCAAATTAGAATATGTGAAAAAAAAATATTAAAAGTTTAAAAACAAATTTTTTTTGACTAAGGGTCCGTTTGATTGCAAAGATGGAATTGAATTAAATTGAAAACGAATTTTAGAGAATTGAATTGATGAGAAATTGATTTCTTGAGAATTGTAAATTATTGTGTTTGATTGATATAATTTTTCACGTGAAATATGTTGAAATAAAAGGATTTTTTGGTGTTCGTTTGATTTTATTTTACATGAAATTTGGCAAATTAAAGAGATACTAGTATTGGAGATGAAATTTTTTTCCATTGCCAAAAAATAAAAAAAAAATCAAGAAAATCATCTATCTCTGATGTTTGTTTGGCTTTGTTTTACATGAAAATTGTCAATTAAAGAGAAATATTTTTTTACAATAATTCTTAGAATTTGTTTTCATTACCAAATAATAATAATAATAAAATAATAAAATAAAATAAACAAAATGCTATAGTAACATGGAATTTCAATTCTCACCATTTTGGTGAAATGGTGAGAATTGATTTTTCTTAAAAACTAAGAAAAGATCAATTCCCAAGACAAGCAAAAAAATGCAATTTCATGGAAATAAAACTCTATCAAACACCATAAAGTTGGAAAATGGATCCATGGAAAAAAACCACATATCAAACACTACCTAATATTATTTAACCCCATCGAAGACTCATTTAATTTCACATTTAATTTAATATACCATCTAACGCTATTTAGAATGAGGTTCAACTCCATTGGATTATACTCTTTCCCCCATGTAAATAAGCAAATAAAAAAATGTTTTAGGAAATTAGGGTGCTTTTTGGGAAATTGCAACTTGTAAGGAGTATATTTAATTATACTTTTCCCCGTCCATGTCATTTTCATTTTTTTCCTTATTTCGATGTGGATTTTATATTCTTTAATGGTTAGAAAATAGTAAATAAAAGTGGACCAGACAAAATTGGTCAATGGTAATAGAATTTGCATTTAAACACGAATCGCATCAACATCTAGAAAGTGCACGTTATTCGTAATCCTCGTCCCTCGTCTATATGCTCAAAAATAAGAAAATGCCAATCTCAAAAATATAATTATGTAGACTCGCGAAATTTTGTTTTTGTAATGCATAGTATGAGTTCAATATATATTTATCATCTCTCTTATTTATTGTGAATTTGTGAGTGTTGTTGACCTTAATTTTTGCATAAACGTGCAGGCAATAGAATTTTGATAATCTCTTTTTCCCATAGGTATTATCTGCAAATTGAAACACCTCGTTAAGAGGCAAAATTTATCGATCGAGAAAAGTGTTCAATGATCATTTGTACTTCGATTGTCAAATCAACTATTGGACGAGAGATAATGAGTGTAAAAAACGGAAGTGGGATTTGACTAGGGTTAAAATGTCATCCCCTTTGTGAAATGGACTAACATATATATAGAGAAATATAAATGAGTCAAGTGGATTTTTAGTGAGATTGGACCAAGTTCAAGCTAAAGACGAAATTGCTTAATTTATAGGTTCAATTCAATTGAATAATCGATATCTAGTCGACCAATATGATCCCTTCCATTACGCGTATACCACGTATCTTATAGATATAACAGTGGCCATGGACTTTATTTATTTCATTTTTCTCTAATTATGGCACTATAATTCACAAAATTAAAATGATTCTATTAAAAAGATATAAAGAAAATATAAATGAAATCCATTTATCCGATTTGAGTCTAGTGGGTCACATTTTTTGAGGTGAAGGGGACATTTTTCTTGAAGAATTGCAAAGCCTTGGCCAGGGTTTGCCCCTTATTCATCTTTCTAGGCAAAGTGCTGCTATTTTATACTTGAGTATTATCCATCGTAAGCCTGTCCCTTTCATTCTTTTTTCTTTTTTCATTTTTTTTTTCATTTTTTTTCTTTTTATTTTCTTCCCTTTTTGTCATATCAGCTCTGTACTTCTTGGGCGGGCGAAGTTTTGAGTTGGGAGTAAAGGAACAAGAAGAGTCCGGACTCGAATTCGACGAAGGCACTAGTAAATTATATTAAAATTTTACAGAATTAATTAATTTTTTTCTAGTCAATTTAAAAGCAAAAAATGAATCGTTTCGAGAAAGTTCCACTTTCTTCTAAGACTCGCTCCATAGTTCTTGAAATCCAACCCGAATGAATCCACAAACATTTCTACTGGGAAAACTTATAGTGAATGTTCCAAACCTTTCAAAGCAGTGCAAATAGGTCTGATACCTTTAAATCGTAGCAAATTTGTTCCAAACATTTCAAAAATGTGGGACGAAATGGTTTCTGAACAGTCAGGGCCGGTCCTGTGATCGTGGGAGTTTGAAGCGAACTCTATAAATTGGACCCCCAAAATCAACGTAAATCAAAATCCAACAATATACTATACGACCAATTGCTAACTTAAAACTTAACGTCAAAGATATTTACAAAACATCTCAATTATGGGAGGATTCTTTTACGTTAATTAGTGAGTTTTACCCAAAAAAAAAAAAGGAAAAAAAAGGGAAAAGAGAAAGGAAAAAATTGCCATTAGATGTTATTGACTTAAAAAACATTATGTTCTTTCTCATTTCAAATTGAACAGCTTCCTTTCCTTTTTAGTTTACTTCCAAGAATCCAAATAATGACTACGTGCACAAAATGCTTACATTTAAACAAGCTCTATTCCCAGAATTCCCTATAGTAGAATCTCCACTTGACCATAAAGAGTACAACTCAACTATTGCTGAAACACGGAATGATGCAGTAGTATAATAGACCCATACGCACTAGTCTTAAGGGGAAAAGACATGATTTCACACATTGAATACGCTAGTAAATGCATCAATTCAGCTAAGAACACCACATGAGGTATGATACTACAGGAAAAGGTCCAACACTCAATTGCGCCACTTGTTTTGGATCAAGATCACATTGTCAGTATCATCAAACAGGCAAAGTAAGGTACAAACAAAATCAACAACCTATTTTCCGCCATTTTACCCACTAATCAATTACCTCAACAGCAAGAGAAACTTCCTGTTGGCGTTCGAGTTCACTGAGAACAGCGATCATGTCCAATTTAAGAAGCCTGGCCACATGGGTTTTAATGAATATCGGGAGCTTTTCGCTGTCGTCTTTGAATCGCTTCAAACCCAATATAACGAAACGGGCCTCTTTTCCAATGAGTTTCTTCCCCCTCCACAGAGGCCCTCTGGGCCTGCCGTCGTGGTATGCTCGAACCCATTCGCAACCAAATTGTTGGGGATTATTATCTCCGATCGTGGGCTTGGTCGTGGAAGGAAAAACTAGGAATGATTTGGGCAAAATGAGAGATTTCGAAGAGGAAAGGTGCTTGATAAGGAGAAATGAGCAGGCGAGGAGAGGGCTTCTGGACTTGGAAATTATGGATGTCAGTGGCATTTTAGAGAGACAAGGGTTTAGGCAGAGGTTTAAGTGAGCAAGAAAGAGAAGCCGTTAATTGAAAAATTAAAGTAGGTAATAGGATTACTCACGGGAAAAAATCATTCCAAGAAGATTAGTATATCCCTTTTCAAAATTAAGAGCAAGGGATTAAAGTTTCAAAAATCAGATTTTTTAAATTTTATTTATAAATTAATTTATTAAATATATATTTTATTAATTAAATCTATTGAGATCACAATTTTTAGTCACGGTTATCTCATTAATTATTCACATATTAAATTTTAGTCACAACTTATCAAATTTTTTGGTCATATCTTATTTCTCGATCACAAATCGATAGGTCATAGAAATATTTTTGATCACGAATCCAAAAGTTTTATAGATCACGAATTATTCATCGATCACGAAATCAAAATTTTTTACAGGTCACGAATTATTCATCGGTCATAGAATCGATTATTTTTTAGGTCATAGATTATTTTTATTGTAAATTATTGGATATATTGGTCATGATTAATTTTTCGATCACAACTTCATCAATTGTGAGTCACAATCACAATTTTTAGGTCACATATCCAAATATTAGTGAATTTATTGGTCACGATTAATTCTTCGATCACAATTTTTTAGATTACCTATCCAATTGTGAGTCACAGTCACGGTAACAAATTTCAGCTTCGCCAACACAGCCAGCACCACTCCCAAATCATTCCACAACCACGGCATCCACCCAACAGCTAGCATCGCCTCCTCTATCGCCACCACAGCCAACAAAACCTACCCCACACCATTCCACGACCACCACACACACCACAGATCCACACGCACACCAATTCGTTAAACCACCGCCGCACGCACACCACAAATCGACCGCGGCACGCACACTAGTTTGCGCCACCACACGTAACCACCACACCCACCGTTCCACACCAACCACAGATCCAACCATGCCACACGCACATCAGTTTGTTGAACCACCGCTGCACGCACACTATAGATCCACCTCCATCTCGATCTACTCACCCTCGCCATCAGTATGTCAACGCTGCAATGAGGACCTTCGCAGCAGCATGGTCAGTGACGCTGCAATGGTGCAGCTCCTCCATCGTATGTCGCTGGGCAGTTGAAAGAGAGACGTGAGAGAGAGAATCAGGATGGGGGGAAATGAAAATGGGAATAAATTAGGGTTTTTTGAAGTATATTTTGGAACAATGAAACTACCCACCTCATTTTAGAATTGTGGATTTTTAATGTAGAGAATCCTGTGATTTTCACTTACTCGAAAGAGGCTGAAGAGCCTATCCAGAGATCCAACTTAACCAAGAACAGCCAAGTGTTAAAGGCATCCTTCACAAATAAAAATAAATATATTCTTTTAAAAATATATACATTAATATCCTTTTAATTACAAATAAGAACATATTACAATAAATTCAATTTAATTTCAAACAAATCAATAGCTCTTTAATTATTCATTCACCAATATCTCTCTTCCAAAACTAAAACCTCACTAATTTCTAATCTCCAAGTATATGTCTTCAAAACCTCAATACAAACATCTCACATTTTAACATTTGAAATTGATAATAATATTTGCACTTTCATGTTTTTTGTTTGTAATTGTTAAATGCTAAACTGATTTATTTTAGAGCATTTTAGATAGGTAAGTGTGAATTATTGGACATATTTTTGAATTTTAGAGTAAATTTATGGGAAAGAACTTTACATCATGTGATTTGTAAAAGAGACGGTCCCTTAATTGACCACATTTTAAGAGATAGGCGATCGATTGACCATTTGTTAAGAGTCAATTTATTAATAGACGGTCAATTAATTGATCATCGTTAAGCGTTAGTCTATTAACCTACTGTCCATGCTAATATCGACTAAAAACATACGATCTTATCAATTAATAGATCGACTCATGTGTGTTATCAATAGTCTGTTAAGAATTGATTGTAATCGACCGTCTATTATAAGTCTACATTATGTGATTCAAGAGTCAAAATCGTAGCTAGGCGAAGATCTTCTAGATGGTGGGTGAAGTGAAAATATAATGGGAAAAAGCTATTGTACATTACTAATCTAGACGATAATTTAGACAAAGAAAGGATCTCTCCTATTACTTCCATAGAAATGATCCTACACTTCAAGTAAAAGGAAATAAACAAGAATGACATAGATCTGACTTAGAGTCTGATATGCTTTCAATTAAAGTAGAAAAAATGCAATGAATAATGAATGGAAAAGCAAATATGATTTAGGACAAATTCTTGGCGTTCCAATAAGTGTCCTAGAGAAATTACCATTCTCAGAAAAACGAAATTCTTAGAATACACAATTCTTTGTGTTGATGACATATGCAAGTGGCTTTTGTTGTTGAGTGAGATTTGTAGGAAAACAAATTTTAAGCACTTGTTTGGTACAGATTTTAAGCCAATTAAAATCAATTTAAATAACCGTTATTTCACAATTTCAGTCGTTATTTTTGAATTTTTCTCTCACAGGTAAGATTTATTTTATCTCTAACGGTTTCTTACCAAAATAATTGACACAGGAAAATAGATGGTCAAATATATCTCTTTTACTTTAAAATAATAACAATAATAACAACACTTGCTCTATTAAACGTGTTTGGTCCATTATTGTCATGGATAATTAATTTGATACATAGAATAATAATATAAAAATAATTGTTGAACTTTGTTTTCACGCAAATGATGACAGATAGACAGACACATATTATTGCCTGGATTAGCAAAAAGAACATTGGATTACTAATAATTGTCATTGCAAACTAAAAATATTAATATAATTTCTTCAGTCAGAATATTAATTAATTAAAATCACAATTTAGAACGCCATGAAAGTCATCCACATATTAAATATCTAATGTAATGAAATTCTAGAAAAAAATTGACTAAACATCTCTAGAAACTGTAATAAAAACAAAAACCCTCAAAAAATATAATTAGCCGTAAGCGTCCAATTCTATTCCTATCCTTAACCGCCTCTAACCTAAGATATTCCAAAAACCCTATTCCTATCCACCAATAACATTTGCACACAAACAATCTTTTTGGAGAAAACTTATAAGTCATTTTTGTCTGCGCACGTGATATAAAATATGGGTTTTTCTTGTAACATCACTAGAAGTCAATTTTTTAGCCTAAGGTCTCGAAGAAAAATTATGAGCTTACGGGTCATTCAAGCACCTTTATGTAATCTTCTTTTACTCTGAATTTCCTTTAATCTTCCTATTTCTCTATCAAGCCCTCATTTTTTCCAACCAAATCATTCAATCTTATCTCTTTCTAAGAAACACCCTTGTACCATAAGAATCTCCACATCCCTACCCTTATAAATCTTTCATCATCTTGTGGGTTTCTCTCACCCCACCGCCACCCAAAAGAAATAGCGTGAAATTTTTATCCGACCCGGTTTAGAGACTAGAAGTAGAAATGGATATTTCAAGTGTTCAGAGAGGGATGGAGAGCAAAAAGAAGACTAGGAGGAATAACAAAAGCAATTCTCTTAAAGTCGTGTACATATCTAGCCCCATGAAAGTGAAGACTTGCGCGTCGAGGTTTCGTTCCCTTGTGCAAGAACTCACGGGGAGACACTCCGATGTATCGCGATACATGGAGACCAATGGTGCTGATGCAGATTTTCATGAGATTGTTTGTGAAGATGATAGAGTACTACCTAAGTCTACGGTGGATGATGAACATGCATCTTTGATTTCTTCCATGGATAGTAGAGAATCTCCTACAACTACAAGTTCAGATTCATTTTTGGAGCCTATAGATAGTGTGTTTAGCTCTCAAATGGATAACCAGTTTGGAGGTTTTCTTCCTTCTAGTTTGCTTTATGATTCTCGTCAATTTGATGATGTACTAGGGAGCTATATATGATGAATTAAAAATTATTTATTCACATATTTATTCTTGATATTATCGTATATCTAAAGTACCTTAAGAAACATAGATAACATTAATATTATTGTCTTTCGTGTGTCATGGAAAGACAAAATTGGCGTCACTCAAATGATGGACAAGAGGTAATACAAAGCTGGATTTGAAATATACAAACGAAACCTTTTTATGTAACAAGCATGTACACAAATCCACTTACAAATTAAAATTTAATTTATAATATAAAGTCAAAATTAAACATTAATATCACTCGTGCATTCATAATAGCTACACACTTATTATCTTTATATTTCGTAATATCGACTACTTATTTTTCTTATAATTAATCCAAACAAGCACTACGAAATGGATTTTATAGTCAGATAATGTTGACTTCCTAGAGATCCTATACCAACCCAATCCATTGCTGACCGTGATTTTGGTATTTGATAGGACGACCCGGGATCAGTGGATTCTCATTCGCCTTTGGTAGTTCCGGTCTTTACTCTTGCTCACGTGGGTTTTGATCTGGATTTGATCCTTTTTAACTCTTGTTTAACAATCGTTATTTAAAATATATATTAAAAAAATCTTGAATATATGAGCAGATATTTTATTGTACAAACGAAACCTTTTGTGTTAAATGTGACTATGTGTCTTGTGGTGATTGTCAAATCTATCTTAATTGTGATCGATTGTGATCAAGTTTATCTTTATTTTTGACTCTATGTGACCCGATCCGTCTTAAATGTGACTATATGTGATCAAATTAACAGTGACTTGGTTACATACAGCCATAAATTAGATAGATAAGATCACAACCAGTGACATTGAATACAAATATGGTTATAATTAGACATAGATAACACAAGTCAGTGATTTTAGTTAGATACAAATGCTCTAAATGGTCACAAACTTTAAATGTAAACATGTTTTGTAACAAACAGCCACGATTGACAAATATTTGGTTACACATGTCACTATTAACACAAAGTTGGTCACATATAATCACATAACTTCTTGATCACAAATTACAAAATGCATAGGTGTTAATTTATTTCACGGTCATAAGTTATCAAATTAGTTTGTTACGACTTATTCTCAGTCACAAATCACAAAATTTATAGGCAGAAAATTAGTTCACGGTCACAATTTATCAAATTAATTGATCACAAGTTATTTTTCGATCGCAACCTACAAAATTTATAAGTCACACTTATTACAATAACAAATTACCAAATTAATTTGTCGCAAGTTATTTTTCGATTGTAAATCACAAAAATTATAGGTTACAACTTATTTCAACTTCACAAATTATCAAAATTTATTGGTCACAATTTATTTATCGATCACGAAAAATACAAATTATAGATCACAATTACAAATCACATATTTTTAAGCCACATTATTTATTGATTATATTTATTTATTTTATTGATCACAGTTGTCTAATAGTTGGTCAGAATCGCTCTTCATCTGAAGGTAAAAATGCAGTAGTCGTGCATTGTAGGTGACCAGATTTGGAAATACAGTGCACTCAATGCTTCAAATATTTGACTAGAATTATCTGCTCTGTCCTCATTTCTAGTCGAATTAATCTTTTCTTCCACAATCAACAGTGAACTCACACCACCATCCTTGTTTTAACTTCTAGCACCATGACTATTAATAGTATTTGTGTAATTTTGGCTCATCATAGGTACAATATCACCACCAAGATGGCCTAAATTCCCACCACTTCCAATACTACAATCACCAAAAGGACTCACATGTTCCCCACTATTATATCAGTACTTGACATAAATTTAAAGCAGAGTATCACTAGGCATGTTTCTTCAGAATAAATCTATCAACATATTTGATACCAAGCTGGATTAACTACCATGGTAAATATCATGAACAACTGATTCACCTAAATGCTCAAGTGATCAAAGGAAATGTGTGTGTATCTCAATTTGTTGCTATCTGTGTGGGATACAATGTGGCTTTCGCACTACCAAGTAGTCTAGGAATTAGAATGAACCTTGTCAATCGTCATTACCCACATATTGCATTGCCACTTTTCCCTTTTCCTTGTGAACCAAACACGACGATAGTCGCCTTGCTTGTACTTGATGGACCTGAAATTGGTCATTGTTCGCCCTAGACATCCTCAATAAAGGCACGAAATTGTGTAAGTAAGAGGAGCCTCGTAGCTTTAGAGGCAATGTTGGTATAGTCGAACGAGGAAGCATAGGCAGAAGGCAGATTACCCGCTGCCCGTGGTGGAGCAACGTTAGTAGCAAGAGCTGGAGGTGGAGAAGTGGAATAGAGAAGATCCGCATACAAATCCCGATCAAACAAGGAGCATCAAGTGTGAACTGAAGTCAAGATTCCTTCTCATCCTTGTGCATAAACAAATTTTGCATCATCATCTCCACTTCGACTCGATCGAATTTCCCTAACCTCTGTGGAAATCTCCACCTCACCTCCACCATCATTGTACGTAGCGGTTATGATGCCCAACTTTTCTTCCAATGACCCATAACAGCACCGACCTGAAATAAATTTTCTTCTATCGTCAGAGCTAGCTGAAAGGAGAAAGAAATTAGGAGATGTTTCTGCAATAAGGAGAGAGAAATGGTGAGACTTGGGTTTAATAAATATTAAATAAATAATTAACCCCTGATTGTGGAAAAAAAGTTTAAGATTTGATATTTGAAATGCATAGTTAATATGTAGATTTTTGGGTAATTTTTCCTCAGAACTCATCTTTTTATTTTTATTTTCTTTAAAATTAAATAGGAAATATGTAAATGGATTGGATTGGTTCAATCAACTAATGATTTAAGACTTCAAATCATGATCGAACCAATTCACCATGGTCTTATTTGAAAAAAAATAAAAATAAATCAAACCAAACCGATTATCTTTGTCAAATCGATCTGAACCAAGCTGAGTCTGTTCAGTTTAATTGGTTTGGTCGATTTTTTGATTTTTTTTGCTCAAGGCTTAGTTAAAAATGAGTATGTAGAATAAAGTGTTTTTAAATAATCATTGTTAATAGGGATTTAATAACATTATTAATTAGGAAGTGGTGAATACGTCGATTTTTAGTTAGGGACAACAATAGGGGAAGGATTGGTTCGTGCCAATTTGAAGTAAAAATTAAAATATCTCCACCAATTCATTTAAAAGGTCTAGATAGATTCATGACTAGAAGTCTAGAACCACTAAATATAAGAGTAATACTATTTCTCATCATGATGATGAAATATAAGTGATGTGACAACTATTATCTCTCTCTCGACCACATCTCCTCCCTCTATCACATAAAATTCAATCTCCAAATCTATTATTTCACAACGAATATTCCATCATCATAATGATAAATATCATTATTCTAAAAGTAATCTTCTAGTAAAAGGGTTATTTGTTTTTCTTGATCGTGCAAAATGTAGGCGATCATGAATGAGGGATAAGAAAGTATTTATATTTAATAAAGGCACGATTTGAAATATGAAAAATTGCCTAAAGAAAAAGAGCCATCTTGTACAAAACTCTAAATAGAAAAACATACATTTTTTCCCACACTACTTCGAAGAAAATTTCTCTTTTATTCTCTGCTTTTAGAAACTTAAAATAGAATATTTTGAATTCGAAAATACTAGAAATTTTATATAAATTTTTAAGGGATAAGTGTAACAAAAGTCCCAAATTTTTGAAACACTAACAGACTTTCTTCAAACTTTTGATTTGTTACAACCGTCACCCTTAATCTTTTCAAACGTTATAGGTGAAGCTTTTTGGATAATTTTCATCCATAATTCAGTTAATTGACCAAAAAATTAACTTTGGACACATTTCTAATACTTTAAAAAAAGACAAAAAAAAAAAAAATAACTTTTCATTTATAAATACACACACAGTCATCTTCTTCCACTCACCCCTCACCCACCCCACCTCAAATCCAAAATCCACTCGACCATCACCACCTTCACCCCCACAACCATCTACTACTGCTCACCATCATCTACCCCATCACAATAGCCACCCAACAAGCTCCATCACCCAAACCCAAAAATGCAAATCATTTAGATCTATATCATCAATCTCCCTCATTTCCACCTTACTGTACACAAAAGAAACACACGCTCTTCAGAAAAGATATATGCCTCCTACATACACTGATTCGGATCTCAAAGTAAATTTTTTTGTCTCTAGTTGAAGATCTCATTTCAACATTTTAACTATTTTACTAAGTTTTGCTTGTTTATGGATGTGCGCGCCTTTTTTTTTTTTTTTTTTTTTTTGGGTTTGCAGAGATCATCGACTAACATGAATAGTTTGGGCATGAGGTAAAATTGTAGTATTCAAAAAATTGTTTAGTTTTAATCTAGTTGTTTTCGTATTATGAGACTCGAACCCTGGTTATGTGCTTCCAAAATTTTGAAATTGAAGAAGTCGTGTTTTTTGTAAATACAACTCTATTAGTTTGGTACTTTTAATTGGATGGTGACACGTAGTTTATCTTGGGCTATTGGTTTTGACTTTGGAATCTTCTATTATTGGCGTCGTTTCACTCGGCACCCCTCACTATCCTAACGCGTCTGACTTTTTGGTTCATGTAAGAGAAAAATCCTCTCGTCTGGCTAGGGTTTCGTTTGTATGATTCTTTGGCTCAAATCTCTAATTTGAGGCTTGAAACTTGTAAATTTGAGTGACTTAATTAAATATTCTGAGTGATTATCTATTAGAACCGTATATTTATCTCTTTGTATTTGTAAAACATTTGTAATCCTTCGTTGCCATTTTTGGGCTATTATAGTGCAACTGAGCGTAATCGAACTTGTTGGATGCTCAACGGGAGATGTAGGCATTGAAAGCGATCGTCGAACCTCCGGGGCTTAGGTTAAAAGAAATTTTATGATGAATCTTTATTTTTCTACACCATTTACTTTCTGCAATTTAAATACTTTGCTTCTCAGTTTTAATATTGTGTGAACCTTTGCCCTACAGTGGTATCAGAGCCACACTGAGGAGCACGATACCTGGATCTTGGAGAGTTTGGTGGATCTTCAACAGATTTGAAATTTTTGGAACCGCTGAAAAGCAAATTTGAAACAATACGAGTTATTGAACTTGCTTGGTGAGATCTTTTCAATTTACTGTATATTTCTTTTCAGAAATTTGTGTTTCTTGAACTTTTCCTTGATTTTTTAGTACACCATTGAAATCCCTTTGAGACTAATCTTTGTTCAGTAGCTCCTACGAGACCCTTGGAATATGAGATAAATCATGTACGGGCATGTACTTTGGAGAATTCTGTTGAAGGGATTTTGTGAAACCTTGTATTTGATCTCTGTGATTGGTATCTATTGATCGATCTTGTTTGTTCTCTGTTGATATTTTAAGATTTGTGAAATCTTGTCTGTGTTCTACTATGATTTCTAATTGATACAAATTGGTATTTTTGACTCCCTGCTTAAACTGCCTTTGAGTTCGTGTTGACCTTTGTGTGATAAATTACCTGCATCATGGCTACTGTTAAATTTGAATTCAATCAATTTGATGGTAAAATTGATTTTGATATGTAAAATCAGAAAATGAAAACTATTTTGATGCAAATGAAATGTGCTAAGGCATTAGATGATTCATGGTCTGATGATTTAGCACCTACTAAGAAATCTGAACTTGAAGAAATTGCTTGGAGTACTATATTTTTGTATCTGTCTAACAATGTGATCAGAGAAATAGGTTAAACCACTACTGCCTTTGATCTTTGGGCCAAACTTAAGGCAAAATATGAAACCAAAACCACTCCAAATAAATGTTTTCTTTTAAAACAATCATTCTCTTTTAAAATGGATTATGCAGTTGACTTAGAAGAAAACTTGAGTAGGTTTACAAAACTTATCCAAGACTTAGCCAATTGTGATGAAAAACTTTGAAAAGATCAATTGACTGTAGTTCTGTCAAACTCCATAAGTGACAAGTATAAGGACATCAAAGTTGCTCTTGAATATGGAAGAGAAGGACTCACTCTTGATGTTATAACCAATGCTTTGAGAAATAAAGCCTTAGAAATCAAGGTTGAGTCAAGTAACAGTCACACTGGAACTAGTTTTCTGACTAAGGGAAAAACTTTTAAAAAACCTGCAAATAAAAGATAGACTGACACGAGTAAGACCAAGAATAATGCAAAAGGTAAAAAATGCTATTATTGTGGCAAGTGTTCGTCAAATTCTTGCAAGCGTACGGGTTCGTTGTACAAGTAATAATAGTGAAGAGAGAGTTATCGTCCCACAGAGAATAAAGATCAATTTTAGTATATTTGATATATTTAAATTCGTGTTTGTAACCAAGAGATGATCGAATGAATATCTAACTAATTTTCATAACTAAAACTTGTGAAAATAATGAAAATTGGTTTAAAAATCAAATGTGTGAACGTATTGGATTTTCGACGACATTGATCAATTCTTAGTTCTAATTTTCAACCAGTGATAATTATTTTCATTTATGCAATTGCGACGATCGATAATTCCACTATTATTTATTATTCTTTTCCAAGATATAATAAATATATGATTACCACGAGACGATCATATTCCTAGTCCGAATTCATATGGCAAACATGCATTGACATTTAGAATTATCACACATGATCGCACGCGCCACAAATATTATTCCTAACATTTATTACCCGTGTGTCCCAATAATAGTGTTCTACCTATCATGAGTTTTCCAACACTAAGAATAAACAATTTATTGTTCTAAACATTAAAACAATAAAATTATGCATATTAATAGAACCACAACACAATAATTAAGATAAAAACACAGGTTTCGAATTAAAACTAAGAATTAAACAATTTTTTCTTTCATCTAATACATGAAAAGATTTAGCCTAACATCATGTTAGAATCAAACAAATAAAAGTGGAAGGACATCACCGAAATTTGACAACAAATGATTAATTTTCCAATGAACACTGCCTTTTTCTTCATTTTTTAGCCAAAGTTTATGCGTGTTCGTATATATATTTTTCCAGTAGCAGCCTCTATTTATGCGTGCATATAATTCAACTCAAGGCAGTAATTTTCTTCTTTTTCTCCCTCCAAAGCAGCTGCAATGTTTTCTATGTATGTCTTTCTTTAATGTCCCAAAGCTGCCCAATGTAATATGTATTTTTTTGTCTCCAAAATCCAGCAGCCTTTTGCTTTTTATATGTATATTTAATCACTTCCGCTGCAAATCACGTGTATCTCTCCTTTTTTGTTTCTGAATGCTGGCATCTCTCTTCAATTTTCTCCTCAATTGGCGTGTTCTATGCGTATATATTTCCACCAGGCCGCACTTTTCTTTTTCTGTAGGTTCATTCGCAAAAGACTCCCGGCTCTCCCTCGTCCTCGTCTTTTTGTGGGTATATATATGTATCAATTAAATAACAAGGCAACCCTTTTTTTTTTTCTCACAACAGCCGACTTCTTCCTCTAAAATCCCTAGGCAGCCTATTTTTTTTATTTTTATTTTTTCCAACCCATCAAAAGCCCACAAACTTTTTATCATAAAATAAATCCAAGTCTACATTAATTCCTTCTATTTTATCAATTGGTCCAAGGCCCAAGTAAGGTATTATTTCTCCAAGTCTTCAAATTTCAAAATATAAAATTTTGATCTCCATACTTTGCATCAAATAGCTGATTAATCCTTCATCCTTTTCCAAATGCTTCAAACAAGTCAATCACTAAAAACCAAATGAAAATTAACCTAGTTAGATAAAAATTAATAATTTGATGACGTAAAAGTTTAGAAATATGACTTAATTAAGTGCACAAATTACATTTATCAGCAAGCTTGGCCATTTTGCAAAAAATTGTTTTAAAAAAAAAAAAAATAAAAAAAAAAAAAAAAAAAAAGGTTTTGATGGAAGTAATGTATTGGCCTATGATAAAACTAAACATGAAAATGGTTTTGTTTTAGTAAGCACAGAAAAGTGTCAAAGTGATGAATGGATACTTGACTCAGGTTGCTCTTTTCACATGTGCCCCAACAAAAACTGTTTTATAAATCTGGAAAAAACTAAAGGGGGGCATGTTATAATGGACAATAAGTGATTGGAATTGGGACTGTCAAATTGCTATTAGAAAATGGAAATGTTTTGTTCCTTGAGAACATAAGACATGTCGCAGATTTGAAAAGGAACTTAGTGTCCTTAGGAATGCTAGATGACAAGCAGTTTAACATAACTTTGGGTCAAGGACATATAAAAATTCTTAGGGAAAATGACCTGGTCACTTCAGCCCCAAGAGACATGGCTTTTTTGCCTGTATGCGCAACCTTTGCTTCGATTAACTGCTTCTGTTATGTCTAAAAATTTTACTTTAGCTAAATTGTGGCATGAAAGACTTGGTCATATTGGTGAAAAGGGACTGATTTTTTTTGCAATCAAAAGGTGTTTTTGGAAAGCATAATCTTGGTGATTTTGGCTCTTGTGAAGATTGTATTTTAGGAAAGTAAGTTAAACTTCTCTTTCCAACTAAAATTCATAAATCCAAACAAAAACTTGAGTATTTGCATGCTGATTTGTGGGGTCCTACTTTTGTCTCTACATTGACTAGTTTCAAATATTTTTTGCTAATAATTGATGACTTTTCAAGGAAAATTTGGGTGTATTTATTGAAATCAAAAGATGAGACATTTTTTATTTTTAAGGACTGAAAAACTCAAGTTGAGAGTCAGAGTGATCTTAAAATAAAATATCTGAGGACTGGTAATGGTTTGAAATTTTGTAATCATGAATTTGATAATCTTTGTAAAGAATATGGCATTATGAGACACAAAATTGTTCCACACACGCCACAACAAAATGGAATGGCTAAAAGAATGAAAAAAACTCTGTTGAATAAAGTTAGATGCATGCTTTTAAGTTCTGGACTGCCTAAGATGTTTTGGGGTGAAGAAGTTAAAACTACTGCATATCTGATTAATAGGAGTCCTTCTAGTGCCTTAAACTTTGTTATTCCTGAATCTGTGTGGTCAAATAGTTTTGTGAATTACTCTTACCTGAAAGTATTTGGCTGTGCTGCTTGTGCTCATCAAAATGTTAGTAAATTAGTACCAAGATTATTAAAATGTGTTTTCTTGGGATGTGATGAGCATGTCAAAGGTACAAACTATGGGTTAAATAATAAAAATGGATGTTATTTTTAATGAGTAATGATGCCATGTCTTGAAGGAAAAGAGAATGTTTTAACTGAAAAAGATGTCCAAATTGAGGTGGAGCCCTCCTGCAGTAATGAGAACACTTTTGTGTCTACTGCAGGGGATAATGTAAATGAAGAACATGTTATTTTACCTGAAATTGAAATTGAACATGTCTCAATCCCTCCCCCTTGATAAGTACCAACTCATAAGAGATAGGGAGATGAGGCAAATTAGACCCTCCACCAGATTTGACAATGACACCTTTGTTTCCTTATTTACTTATCAAGACCCGTCTGAAAATGAGCCAAACTCTTTTGAAGAAGCCATTAAATGTCAAGAAAGCAGAAATTGAAAAATGGCCATGGAAGATGAAATGTCTCCACTACTTAAAAATAAAACATGGGTTTTGGTTGACAAACCCAAAGGACAAAAATTAATTCATTTCAAGTGGATTTATAAGGTAAAACCTGGGAAAGGTGACAGTAAAAATGATACAAAGTTACGTTTGTAGCAAAGGGTTTTACACAAAAGGAGGCTGTAGATTCTACTGAAATTTTCTCTCCAGTTGCTAAGTATGTCACAATTAGATGCTTGCTTACTCTTGTTACACAATTTCAGTGGGAACTTGATCCATTTGATATTAAGACTGCTTTCTTGTATGGGGAATTAGATGAAACCATGTACATGAAACAACCTGTTGATTTTGAAAAAGGTGATTCTGAAAATACTGTATTTTTTTTAAAGAAATCATTGTATGGCCTAAAATAAGCACCTAGGCAATGGTACAAGAGGTTTGACACCTTTATCTTAAAACTTGGATTTAGAAGAAGCCAATATGATACTTACTTGTACTGCAAGGTTATGGAGTTAAAAACTCATTATATTTAGTACTTTATGTGGATGATATGTTGTTGGCTAGCTCAGATAAATCTGAAATTGATGATACTAAATCAAAGTTAAAATTGAGTTTGATATGAAAGACCTTGGTGTTGCTAAAAGAATATTAGGCATTTAGATTTGAAGAAATAAATATAAAAATATGTTGTTTTTAAATCAATGTGACTATGTATCTAAAATCTTGAAAAAATTTAATATGCTTGATCGTAAGCCTATGACACTTTCTCTTGCTAATCACTTTAAATTGTCTTCTGAATTT